CAAGAAATAATTCTTGATCACCTATAAATGTGTTCTAAGCATTAAAGCAATGACCAAAATACTTGAGTGTAATGGACATTTGGTTGCTCTCAACACTACTTTATTTCTCTTAGTACTCCTAGTATTAACATGGATTTACACATTTTAAAAACCAGAATTTAATATTGACAAGTAATTTCTGGAGACTACTTTCCCAAGGAAACCAAGCACGAAGGCTGCCAGCAGTCTGCTGTTCTAATCTAAGAGTAACTCATATTTGACTTTAATGAGAGATCATTTCAGCCAATATGAAGAGAATATCATACCTCAAGTGTAGCTGAAATTTTTATCTCTTGTCTGAAACTAGAAAAATAGTTGCCTTCAGTTTATATAAGGCATGGATGGGAAAAGGTAGGTGTAAGTTCAGTGATTAGATAGCTTCTGCCTGGTTTATTGAAATTTACCTAAGAACAACAAAATGATAGAAAAAAAGTGTACTGGAAGTCTGAGAATCCTGGATCCTGCGGTTTTGTTTCGCTTGGAAATACAGAATAGTAATAGTATAATGAATTCCCAACAACAACCTTAAGGAAAAATATGATGGATGCAACTGTAGTCTCCAATGTATTCTTTCCAGATGAATTTCTGCTTTTCTTTCATGAGGTAACTACTAACTAGAATATGGTAGGTATTATTCCCAGATATAATATTTATTTATTTATTGAGACATGGTCTTGCTGTGTAGTTCACACTGGCCTAGAACTGACTACATAACCCAAGTAGGCCTCAATCTTACAGTGGCCCTCCTATCTCCACCAAGTTTTATATTTTAACTACATACTTACATATCCCTAAAGTATATGCAATCTTACATATTTTAAAGCAATAAAGTATTGATATTGTGACATGTTATGGTTTGTGTTTGGATGGCTCCCCCCAAGCCTCATGCAATCATGAATGTGGCTGAATCCAGCGTTCATGATTGGTTTATTGTCTAGCATTGGGGTTGATGATGTGAGTGCTACACTTGCCCAGGGGCAGAGCCAACATATGATGTAAGAACAAGAAGCAGACATGTCTTTTTTCTTTTTGTGAAGTTTACTCTTTCTGTTATGTGGGGGTTATGAATAGTGGTCCTATCATGCCACCATGCCTTGGAGCCATCTGAGTATAGACTGAAACCTCCAAAATTGTAAGAAATAGACCTTTCCTTCCCTAATTTTGGGTGTCAAGTATTTTGTCTCAACAATGAGAGAAAAGTAACCAAGACAAAATTTGGTACCAGGAATGGGGTTGTTGCTATGACTATACCTGACCATGTGGTTCAAGAGCCTTTGGTAATGGCTTTTGGGAAGAGTTTGAAAAGGTTCAGAAATGTCACCTGAATGCATAGAGCTGGAACAGCTTAGGCTGTTCCGTAGGGGAGATTCTGGTCAGAGTTCAGGAGACCAGAAGACTGATACAAAGCCTGCTGGTAAAGAAAAAGTTCAGGAGGTTTCTGCTGGGAAGAAGGACTGCAGTGGTTGTTGAACTCCACACTATGTATGTAATGGCTTGGTGGAAAGTTTGTCTGCATTTTGCTCATGTCCAAAGACTTTGCCTGAGACTGAGATTAAGGGTGGTAAACTGATTAATCTGGCAAAAGAAATTTCAAGGCAGTCTAATATAATATTGAGGTGGTGGGATGGCTATTGTTGGAACTTTTAGCCAGATTTATGTTGTGGATCAAGGGGAAAGAGCCCAACACAATGATTTAAAATTTGAGTTTGACCAGAAAGCTGTGGACTATAAAGATAAAGCTGAGATCTCAGTTGCTAAGAAGGAACAGAAAAAAGATGGTCTGGGGGTACCCTGGGAAGCAGCAGGTTTCCACCTTTTGCAGCCTCAAAACTGCAAAAATGAAAGATTTTGTTCAGCGGAGAAAGCCACATAGCATCATGTCCAGGTTCCAAAATGGTGGTAGCTGCACCACATGCCAGAATGGTGGCAGCACAGAGAAACTGTTCCCACAATAAGGTTCAGAGAGCTCAGTGATCCAGGCACTTGACCCCTACAGCCAAGAGAGATGAAAGCCTGGCTACTGCTCAAGCTGGCAGTGGACCTTGGCAGCACCCATATATGCTGGTTTTAGGCTAATGGAGAATACATGAGTTATGCGGTTAAGGCAACTTCCACCCTGACTTCAGAAGGCCTGGGAGGCCAAGAAGTGTGCCCTGAGAGGGCAGTATGTGAAGCTGTGAGCGTGAAGCCAAAGGTGCAGTGGAGACCCCGGAAGTTTAGAAAAGCCAGGAATGTGGATCATCCAAGGAAAGTTACAAAGACTGAGCAGAATGAACTTAAGAGAGAAGCTGTGGGATCAGAAACCCATGGATGTGCCATGGGAGTGGAGTCACCCAAGTTTTTTGGAGCTCGAAACCAGATTGCTTCAGATGCTGAGCATGGAACTCTAGGGCTTAATGTTTGCTCTCCTGGATTTTGGAGTTGCTTTGGTTCCAATGCTTTGTATTCCTGTTTGTAACATTTGGAATGGTAATGTTTACCTTGTGCTATTGTATGTTGGAAGTGTTTAACTTTGTTTTCATTTATACAGGGGCTTGCAGGTAAGATTTCCCTTAGATCTTGGAGGAGACTTGGGACTTGGAATTTTCAGCAATGCTGAAAGTGTTAGGACTTTGGCAACTCTTGGACATGGACTAATGTATTTGCATAAAGGATGTGCATGAGTCTTTGGGGAACTAGGGGTGGGAATGTTATGGTTTGTGTTTGGGTGGCTCCCCCCAAGCCTCATGCAATCATGAATGTGGCTGAATCCAGCGTTCATGATTGGTTTATTGTCTAGCACTGGAATTGGTGGTGTGAGTGCTACACTTGCCCAAGGGTGGAGCCAACATACAGTGTAAGTGCAGGAAAAAAGCATGTCTTTTTTCTTTTTGCATGGTTAATTCTTGCCGTTTTGTGGGGGCCATGAATGGTGGCCCTGCCATACTGCCCTGCCTTGGAGCCAGCAGAGTATGGACTGAATCCTCCAAAATGTAAAAACTAAATCTTTCCTTCCCTAATTTTAAGTGTCAGGTATTTTGTCTCAGCAATGAAAGGAAGGTAAGCAAGACATGACATGAGCATTTCATAATAACATTTTAAAGCCCAGAACTATATTTTTATTTAGTCATTTGACACATAGAACTCTCATCTAATCACAATTAATACAAGTTCACTTGAATATATGCAACCTAATGGTTGATGACTATTCAAATAGATTTCATTTTGACTCTTAGTACAACACAATGTATTAGTGTTCTTTTATGGTTATCCTTACAACATTTATCAAAGTAATATCCTTTGAGCAAAAGTATAGGACCTTTCTACAGATACATTTCAGCTTTACTAGATATTGCCATGTTGCCCTCCAAAGTAATTTTTTCGATTTACACTATTACCAGTTTAGTACAGATAGTACACTGGTTGCTTCATATCCCTGACAATAATTGGTGTAATCAGACTAAATTTTGGTTTAATTCAAGGGGTATGAAAAGGCATCTTATCTGGGCTTTAATTTATATTTCCTTGATTAGTAGTGATCGTCTTTAAGTTTTACTAAGTTCTGCTCACTTTAGCAGCACATGTACTAAACGTTTGATTAGGTTTATTGCATTTCCACTTCTATGACCTGTCTTTTTTTTTTTTTTTTGTCTTTTTTATTTTTATCGGTACCAGGAATTGAACTCATGACTGCCTGCTTAAAAGGCAGGCGCTTATGCCGCTGAGCTAAATCCCCAGCCCCTATGACCTGTCTTTTATATCTTTTGCATATTTGGAAACTTTTTCCGTTATGATTTATAATAGTTGTTTTTATATTGTCCTATCAGGGTGTCACTGATGTGTATGAATACTGTTTTTATATAAAGATGGACATGTTTTTCTTATTGTTCACTCATGATGAGTTTTCTATTCAAAATCTTAATCCCGTTTTTTCTCATGGCATACACATGGAGGACTGCCTGCCTCAGGGATTTACAAAAACTTTAAAATTAAGGATAATTGATGTACCCAACACCCTACATTCTTTGACTGCAGAAAACTTAAATTTCAGGAAGTCACATATATCAATATATCAATCTGCTGTGCCTTTTGTTTCCTCAAACTAAGATTAAATAACTATTAACTTTTCTCCTTAAAGTTATTTTTAGTTAACTTTGTAATCCTTCTGGAGTTTGTTTTGGTGTGTACTGTAATTACTGTCAGTTTTGTTTCTTTTCTTTAGAGGAAGCTGACCAAATGTTTTGGCACCATTTTATTTTCCTCCAAACACTGCCTGAATCTTGAAGTCTGCCTGTAGCCTTCCTTTTCTGTTTTGTTAACTCTCAGGAGAGCTGGTAAGCTGGGACTTCACTGTGTCAATTAAACCTTTTTAGAAGCTCCCAGGGTACCTTGCCATACTAGTATAGCAATTCATGGGTGAATATTCCCAACAGAAAATTTATATCACGCCATTGCCAACTCAACTCTAGTCAATATAAGGTATAGGCAGATAGTAGATGCATGAATACCTGGGAGGTACCTCTCCAGCAACAGGCCCAGCTCCAGCCTGTTTAACTTTGGAGGTCAATACATCCACACTCACAAGAAATTCTGAATACAATAGAACTGTATTTAGGGAGTGCTTCTTCCCGTTTCTTTGACCCCTTCTTTCTCTTAGCTCTAGGGTAGCAAGAACCCACTACTTTTTGGTGTTTCCTAACTCTCAGGATACTGGTAGGGCAAATTCAACCTTTTCAAGAGTCACTTTGGTGGGCTTTTTTGGCCCACACCATTAGATAACTAACAGGAAAATACACTTTATTTCTCCCTCTCCAAAAGCCATCACAACGACTGAAAAAGTAGCGGGCACCTTCAGATTGTGCCTGCGTTGGGGGAGATTACTCATCTCCCTATAGGGGGAACTCTACACAGTGTTTTCCTAAGAGGGGCCAGCTGGGCGGCGTCCTCTTCTTCCCAACGCCCCGATTTCTATTCTTAGATCTGGAGATCCGCCGCTCTGGTGTTTTTTTTTCTGGTGGTTCCCAGGCCTCGTGGGCCTGGCGAGCTCTGGGGCCTCCTCCGTGCCGCTGCGCGCTCGGGCCTGGGCGCTGGGCTGCTTCCTGTGCGTCCTGACTGCGGTCGGAGAGGCGGCGCCGCCCCTGGTCGCGGACGCGGTCGCGGTCACCGTACCGGGCGCGGTAACGTGCGTCCCGGCCGCCGAGTTCCCTGAGCCGGGCCGAGCCGGGCCGAGCCGTGCCGAGCCGAGCCGGGCCGGGCCAGGCCCGAGCGGGGCGGCGGCCGGAGAAGGCGGGCTTGGGGCGGGACGCGGATGCCCGGGGCCGCGGCGGCGCTGGCTGCACGCGGGGAGCTGCGCGCCCGGGAGCGGCGGCGGTCGCCTCCCGCGTCCCCTCCCCACGGCGCCGACCATGGCCAGTGGCAGCTGTCAGGGGTGCGAGGACCAGGACGAGGAAACTCTGAAGAAGTTGATAGTCAGATTGAACAACGTCCAGGAAGGAAAGCAGATAGACACGCTGGTCCAAATCCTGGAGGACATGCTGGTGTTCACATACTCCGAACACGGTAATCCCTGGCTGGCCAAGGTCCCCCCTCTGCTCCTCCCCACTTCTGCAAACTTTCTCTCTGCCCCTCGGGGCTGCTCAGACCTGGGCTGTGCAAAGCCGCAGCTCCCTTTTGCTTTCTTTAGGGCCAAGGAGGTGCTGAGAACTGCAGGAAGACCTGGCGCTCACTTTTTCAGCTTCTCACACTGAAAAGGAGGGTGCTGTGGGTGGTGACTTTGCTTCTTTTCCTCCAACCTCTGTTTTCCAGCCTCCAAGTTGTTTGAAGGCAAAAATTTCCACGTGCCTCTGTTGATCGTCTTGGACTCCTACATGAGAGTGGCGAGTGTACAGCAGGTAAAGGAGCTTCTGCTGCACGCATTTGCCCTTCTGTTTGGGAAGACAAGCTGTCCTTGAGCTATGCTCAGAATTACTGGTTATTTTCTTGAGATTTGGTCTGACCAACGCCTGACTGTGGTTTTAGGTTGGAAACCTTCTCAGATCCCTAGGCAGTGTTAATAGAGTAAAAGGGCCCACCGCGTGGCCCTTGACTGTCTTTTAGCAGTCACTTTATAGAACTGAGAATATTGATAGCGGTGGGAGCGGAATAAAAATAGGTTGAGGTTTAGTTCTATTATTGGCAGGATGAGTTCATTAGTGTTTAGACCCGGCTATTCTAAGAATCTTCCCACTGAGCAGCGTGGCCTAGATAGCATACCACTGTGAATAGTGCGGGGAAGGGGAATGATTAATAGTAGTAAAACACAAGTAACTGGCAAACTCTCCTATGTTTCTCCTAGGTTTCTGTTTGAAGACAGATTTCTACCTTTGTTCAGTTATAGTATACCTTGTAGTATAATCTAAAAAGATGTTTTATGGTTTCCCTTGGGTTTAAAATGTTTACTTTGCCACTGTGTCATATGACTGTAAAAGTGTACATCCATAGGAAATCCAGAAATATATGAAGTACTGTGGTTATATTTAACAAGCAACCATAAAATGATAATTAAAGATGATTTAAAGTCAAGACAAAATTTCTGCTTAAGGTGATAATTTCCTCCAGAAGACTTTCAGATTTGAGGAACTGAAATCAATTTTGTCATCTGCATGCTAAACACTCAGGCAAAGAGAATGAGTTTGAACTCCACGGAGGTGCAGTCTGAAGGTTATGGTTCTTTCTTTCTTTAAACCAGTGTTTCTTAATATTCAAGAAGCTAGACAGAGGTAAAGATTATCTCAGTCTCTAAGTTGGTGCCCATCTCTTTTTATCTTTATTTCTGTATCTAGTTCTGTCTAGTGTTGGTGAATATTCTCTTGCTTTCTTGAGATCAGGACTTTTATATCTGGAATCAATCCTTTTCTTTTTCTTCAACAGTGAAATATTTCTCATTTGAGTATAGATTTTCATGCTTCTTACAGACAAAATCGAGAAAGGGAGAGGAATGATAAAAGCACTATTCTTTTTAGTACTCAAAGTCAGAATGCTGCCTGTTGAATCCAAATGGCTTTCCACCCACTAGCCTGTTGTGCCTCTACCCACATCACCCTTCTCCTTCGCCTCTGCTTTGTGTTCCAAAGTGCCTCCATTCCAATGCTGTGCGCTGGACAGGGCCTGCTGCCTTGGTACTGGTCAGGGCAATCAGTCCCTGGGTAAGCTTTGGTCTACAGAATCCGAGAGATGATGTCAGAGAGGAAAACCCAGCGGAGCCTCAAACATACTCACCTTTTATGTTTTCAGTGCTGGGCATTGAACCTTGGCCCTCGCACCTGTTAAGCAGGCATCCTACTACTGAATTATGCCCCAGCTCCCATAATTATTAAATTTTAGAAATTTCTCATGCCTAGGCACTGAATTTGTCTGGAGTAGTTATAAATGCCACTCATAATCCTTGCTCAGAGCAGATCAGAGACAAAATGTGCTAGAAAATAAGGAGGCATCCTTTTGTTCCATACATTAATGAAATAGATTTATTAGTTTCTGCATCATATGTGTATATATCTGTAAATCATATATGTCTTTACCATTCGATTCTCACTGGAATCTCATTGCCCTCACAGAAGTTTTACCAGATATTTTACACCGAGAGTGGCATAGTAGGTGGTGTTTTTAAGGATCAGAGAGCTTGTGACAGCCAGAACTCAAGTCTTCTCACATCTGCAAAATTCCTTTCCATCATACAGACCACTGCCAGCTGAATTTACAAGGTTTTTACACATGAAAGTAAAAAGTACAATGTTTTATTAGGGATACTATGGTATAGCAATTTTGATTATCTTTGATTTTATCAGTGGGATGTAGAAAAGGATCTCTTTCTCTGGATAGTTTGAAAGTCCATTTGAAAGTAAGTTTTTCCTTTACATTTCTTCAATTAGTATAGTAATTAGTGTGGTTGTTCTTTAGTGGTTTAATATGTTCAGTTATCTGGAAGTGCCCAATTAAAAGCTCTTGATGAATATAAAGAGTTATTGTCAGTTATTTTTCAAAAGTAAATGTTAAGATTTGTTCCCAGAAGTTGTTAAACATATTCTCAGTCTGATTTTTCTTTTCAGAATATTTTAATATTTTATTAATGCTTCTTAGCAAATGACAACCTTTAGAGAATTGTCAGACTAGCTGCTGTTTACTTTTTTCTTCCTGCCAATCAATTTCTGTCCCCCTCAGTTTTACATTTCCCCACACAATTTCAGCCTGTAAAGGATAGCAAAATAACTAAAGGTGGCTACATTTGCTTTGACCTCTTGGCTTTCTCACGTGCATTAGATGGTTGAGTTTATAGAAAGATTATAATAAAGTAAAGCTACCAATTAAATGTGAAGTGTGCAGGATGAGAAGTGACTTTAAAGGATAGGTTTTTCAGCTGATGAGATTAATGGAACAGTTGTGACCTGTGCTTTGCTGCTACAGTTCCATTTAATCCTGGAGACTCCACATAGCGCTGCGAACTCAATTGCTTCAGTCTTTTTGCAAGGCAGTCATTGATGCTGCTGCTTTACCAACCCAAACAAAACAGGTTTTCTCCTTGAGTCAGCTGTGCAGGTACAGACATGAGCTTAGCATCCTGTATGATTTTTTTTTTCACTACTGAAAACTCTTCAGAATGTTATTTTCTTAAATACATGGTGTGGTGGGAGTCTCAATGTATTTATGAAAGCGTAAAAATAGCTAGTTTCTATGACAGCTTCTGTGAGGGAGGATGTCCTACTTATATATATATGTAAAAATAGCTGTTAGAAATTGCTGCCTTTTAAACTAATTTGGACTTATATAAAATGCAGTAGTGACAAAGTAAAGCAATTCATGCTTAATTTGAAAAATAACACTGTAAAGATATCCCACTATAAATATTGTAAAGAGATCTTGTAGATGGTAATCTTTACAAACTACTTCTTGTTTAATCTTCCTTGTTGTCTGTTGAATGCACATAAATTCATTGCTCTGTCATTCAGCTCTGTATCATTGAACTCCACTTATGTATCTAGTCTTTCTTTGTATTAATATGCATCACATTTTACTTGTCAACAGATCCTTTCCTTGTGGTACTCTTTCTCTCTCTCTCTTTCTTTTCTTTTTAACATTTAGTACTTTCCTCACAACTAATCAGTTTTTAGAAGGTTCTTTTGCAATCTGACTCAAGTCCTACCTCTCCCATATTGTATCTTTCTATGTGTAACTCTAGCTCCTGGCAAGTCCTGCTTTCAGGATTTATATTATATTGGTGTTTACCACATATTCTTCTTAGGCACTTTTTCGTTACTCAGAGATGCTACATTTACAAGCATTTTCTGTTTTCTTGTTTCTTTCCTGACAATCTCAAGTAAAATTACTTGAACAGAATAGAATTGAGGATACTTTAAATTTATAGACACTATACAGTGGGAAGAGTGGGTGGAATTCAATCTCTGGTTTGGAGTCAGGACCTTTTTATTTTCTTGTTTCAGAGTAACAAACCACTTTTTCAAGCTGACATGGATGGAGTAAGATGTATTTGCAGTGTATGAAAGTCTATTTTTCACTTGGAAATGTGAAAGAACCTAAGGACGTTTGTGATTTCTAGACCTCACTGGTTCAAAGTTAGACGCTCTAGAGAAATAATAAGGGGACACTGAGGAATTCTACTTCCCTTCTACATGATACTGCCCATTCTCTTTTCCTGTCACAGAGTAGATTCAGTCACAGTACAGTGTTATTTCCTTTGCCAGTATTAGTCTAACCCCATAATATGAGGAACAGTGATTTCTGATAATTTACATGTTGCCACTAAAAATCTCTTAACTTTCCCTAATTCTCCATTGCAGGCACATTTTATGCCCCATCATTAAAATCCTAAATAATTGGAAGAGATGTGGTAGATATTTGTTTAAAAAGGACTGAGATGGGAGTATAGCTCTTCTTGCAGTTAATAATTTTAGTTTGGCCTCTAAACTTTTGTAGGTTAGCTTTATTTAAATAAGTATATATTTTCTTCATCAATTAGAAATGTTATGATTTTTTTGTATACCCTTCTAGTATGTTTTTAGATCAATATGGGTTCTAAGAATATTGTTTGTGTTTGTTTCTCAGTTATATATATTAGGGTATTCTTATTTTAAAATAATTTTTAAAAATTATTTTCTAAGGAGGAAGTGATCAAGTTTGAATGAATATGTCCCAATACCATTCTTTAAAAATATGAATATTTGCCTTTCTTGCTTTTAGGTGGGTTGGTCGCTTCTGTGCAAATTAATAGAGGTCTGTCCAGGTACAATGCAAAGCTTAATGGGTCCCCAGGATATTGGAAATGATTGGGAAGTCCTCGGTGTACACCAGTGAGTATGGCAGATGTGTAGAAACAAATTGCATTGAATATTTATCTACATGTACGACAACCTTTCCCTTTATATATTCTATTTCCAACCCAGATAAATTCTTTCCAAATACAGATATTTTTTTCCTTGGATCAGTAGTTTGAATTTTTAGGCGCTTTAACCTCAGAAGTTTAAATTAGAAAACTAACATTAATGGTAAAATGTCAAGTGATATTATCTTAATAATATAATCCTTCCGCTATATAATTGGCTTATTTGTAGATTTTTTGATGACTGCTGAAAGATTCAAACCGAGAATTTTTGTGTTATGTTATTATGTGCTTTCTAATAGCAGAACCAATACAAAGAACTAGTTCTTGAAATGTAAGAACTGCAAATTTAATTCTGTAAGTAGTAATCTAAAAGTTTATGCTTTACCACCTTTAGTTGGTATATGTATGTATTTATACATATATATTTAGTGAGTTTAAACAATGGTTTTCAAGAAAAAGAAAAAAGGGGAAAGTACCTTTTGGTCAATCTGTAGCTAAAGCTTGACAGCTATTTTGCTGGTCATGATTTTTGCAATTTGCAGCATAGTGGCTTTTTAAATGAGATAGTTGTTTGTTCGTAATTAGTTACAAGAAATGGTTACTGAGAAAAAAATTGTTTCAAGGAAAATCCTTTTACTAACTTAATCATTTGATATTTAAAAGTTATTTCCTGCCATTAACTTTAAATTTTTTCATTGCCTAATATCACTTTTCTTTGCGACACAGAATGCAAATTTGAATACATTTTGCTTCTAATAGTATATTGCTTGAGAAAAATAAATACATGCAAAACTAAATTTTATACCATTGTATTGTTTTTCAGTATCAAAGATGGTTGCAGACTTAGAAAAAATAGAGCTATGTATTTTCATAAATGAGTATATTTTATACATAAATGATAAGTGAATAGAACATTTTTGCATTAGTAATTTTGGTTTGCTCTCTAAAACTACATATCAGTGCTTAGTGTCTTACATATTTGCAGTTTTGATAAACGTATTGCTATTCATTAGTTTCTACTGTCACAAAGTTATGTCTTGAAAAAAGCATATTTATAATTAATCTATGTTCTTATCTTTACACACATCTGTGAAATTCTGAGAACTGGGTCTATCACGTTTAGTTAGGAATTACCCAAATGTGGTATGTCTATAATTAGTAAGGATAACTTAATGTCTCTTGGTTTGTTTGAAAATTTACAATATTCCCAAAGATTAGTCAATCTGTAACTTTGGGGAGTGTTGGAACATTCATTTGAGTCATAGTCCAGTACAAACCAACTGTCTATGTTAATAACGAATATTTCTACAGGAAATATTCATTCATTCACTTGTCCACTCATTTGTTCACCTTGTATCCATTGATTATTTACTCTGCTCTAAGACAGAAGTGACTGAGTTGGGAACAGAGCAGGCACAAGGCTGCCTACAGCAGTCCCTACAGACATTTATTGTAGAAGATATTTCCCTACATTCAAGGCCCTTTTTAAAAATTTACAATTTCAAGAAAGAAATTTCTTCTATGGTGTGATGTGGAGAATGGTAATAATGATGCAGAGATGATAGGAGGAGAGTTGGCAGAGGGTAAGGGGAAGGAATCTCCATTCTTTTCCTTGCCAACCTCAGGTCCTCTACCAAATTTCTTGAGTATAGACAAAGCTGTAGATGCCAGCTGCCCTCTCATCTCCCAACAATGTAAGCCAAATGTCACTGGGTAGGAAAAGACTAAAGATTACATTTTGGGGCTGATAAAACAGATTCAATGTTCAGGAATTTTAACTAATCAAATGCTATTGTGTGTTTGGTTCTTTATCTAATGTAAAATATTATTTTCTCTTACGAAATAGAAAAACCAGTAACTTAAATATGTAAATTCATTTACACAAACTGCATCCTGATTAGGTCTTTCTATCCGTTAACATTTCTACATACATATGTGTAATTTGTAAGTGTTTATTGTATACAACAATGGACTTAACTCCATGTTGACTCTTCTTGATATTTTGTGTATGCAGTTGGGTGAAAATAGTAACGGAATGTGAATATTTAGAAGAAAATAGACTGTGTTTATAACTTTTCTACTGAGACTCAATAATTCTGACTCAGATTTTTTTATTCTGACTCAGTGTTTCTTATTTTTCCTTTTTCCATCGCTGAAGATTGTACCCGGGGTCTTACATATATGAGACAAGCATTCTAACCCTGAGCAACAGCCCTAGCCTAAGTTTTATCTTGTCGTTTTTCCTCCCTACTTTATTGAAATACAATTGACAATTAAAAATAGTGTGTATGCATATATATATATATATATATATATATATATATGGTTTGCAAGTTGATAGACATGTGAAATGTTTGCTATAATTAAGGTGATTAACATTCTGTCTCTGTGTCATTCCTTCCCTCCCACCTTTCATCCATCTTTCTCTCTGGTCCTGGGGATCGAACCCAAGGCCTCCCGTGCTCAGCAAGTGCTCTACCACTGAGTCACACTGCATCCAGCCTATCAATTTTTATAAGCCAGGTTCAAGTTTTTAGGAAAATGAAAACACATGAACTTCACTATAAGGAAACAAATACAATCAAAATGATAAAAGTATAAATGAGTGAAAAGCAGTATCTAAATATCATTTTAGATATTGTAAAACCTCTGAGTGTAACCTTTTATTCTTATCTGATTTCTGATTTTAACTCTAGACTGATTATTAAAATGCTAGCAGTTCATCATGCCAGTGTAAACCTGTCAACAGTTGGACTAAAGGCCTTAGATCTTCTCCTGACTTCAGGTAATACACTTATGTATTTTAAATGTTGACTCAAAAATATTTAAAATTTATTAAGTGCATTTTAATTTTATTGGAATCAGCATAATGCAAGCTAAATATCAGTGAGTTACAAAAATTTTTTGTTTCTATCTTCTTTCATCTTTTTTCTCTATACATTGCCTCACAAAATTCTCACCCAATATCTTGATTTATTTATTTTTATTTATTTTAAGACAGAATCATGCTATGTAGTTCATGCTGGCCTTGAAGTCACTATATGGCTCAGGCTGGCCTTGAACTCATGCTGATCCTTCTGCCTCTGCCTCCTGAGTGCTGGAAATTGCAGGCATGTCCCTCCACACCTGACTAGTATCTTGGCTTTAAATATTACCTTTTATGTACTATTCCCAAATCTTTATTCCTCGTCCCATCTTTGCTCCCAAAATGTGGCCCCATATTTCCTTTCCTACAAGCTTGGTGGCCAGCCATGCCTTTGCCATTATTGTATCTTTCTCCATGTATGTTTTTGATGTTTTCTGTAATGTATGTTCTAGGTTACACTATAATGGCAATATTTAAAAAGTACATAGCACTACTTCCTGACTGCTTGCGAGACATCAGAATTCTTAAGTAGAAGTTTCACATGCTTTTTGATACCTAATCCTCCAAACCCCCTTTGAGATAGGCATTTTAATTTCAGTGTTTTAGGGGAAAAACACTGTAGCACAGAAGAGTTGCTTCAGCTCCTACCTATTGGTGTGTGTCACCTTCTTTGTTTGGGGAAACTTCTGTCTGGTGGATAAAGGACCTCAATAAAAAATACTGATGGGGTGCAAAGGCTGTGGACATTGCTATGGTGGTCTCCTGAGGTCACAGAGGTTCTAAAAGAAAGGTTCTGCTCTTTGGGGACATAACTGGGAAGGACAGGGAGGAGTCTGCGTCCATGTAAGGCATGAACTTTGGATCTAGAGAACTTTGTATGTGGAGCTGCAGAGGCCTGGGAGGTCGTATGGAAGGCTGGACTTGTGGCTGGGAGGCTGATGTCCTCACTGGCTCTGTGAAGGAGGGTTACAGGAGAGGAGGACGAAGGAGAGTGGAGACTGGTGTGTGAAGGAAGAGGGGCAAGGCTGGACAGTGCCTGCCACTTCACCACAACCTAATATTAGCATATGTTAATATTATCTACCAACATTTTAACCGAGATTTGTTTTAAGTCCTTATTCTTGGGGGCTTTGTCTCCTCTTCCTCCTCCTCCCCTCCCTGTCCACTTGCTTCTTCCTTCTTCTTTGTCTTCATTCTCCATTTGGCAATGGGCAGGGAAATAAGGATTTATGAATCTGAAAAAAAGACTCACTATACTGGAATATAGAAAAGTCACAAACATGCAAATGGCTAGGAAATTTGACATTTTTTTGAAAATACTAATTTCTCATTATATTCTGAAGTTTGAGCCATTAGGAAAGTTTTACATAAGTTTTTAAAAGGCAGGTTGGTGAAGCACCTTTATTGTCTGCCTATTAAATAATTGATTTCATAGTTACTGGGCACTCCCTGTTATCCTGGGTGTTGGAGAGGTGGAAGACAGATGAGGCAGAATTCTTACCATTTAGGAGCCCAGGCAGGCTCAGTGAGGGTGTGGGTCAGGGCAGTGAGCAGTTTGCCGGAGGGCACGTGGCTCTCTACAGTACTGGGTTTGCTGTTCAATGTAACTTTTTGCAGTGATAAAAATGGTCTGTTTCTGGATCATTCAATACTATACTTTATAGGTCTATGTAGCTTTTGAAGATTTGAAACATGAGAACCTTAATTTTAACTTTATTTAATTTTAGTGAAGTTAAATTTTGAGTTTAAATGGACACATAGGATTAGTGGCTACTTCAGTGGACGGCACAGGCACCTTGATGGGTTGAAGCATTTAAAACAGTAATAATTGGAATTGAAGGAGAAAAGTTCTAAATACAGATAGAAGGACTGCCAGCATAGAGAAGACGTGTAGGAAGAAAGAGCCCGACATGGCCCGCCTGTGTTTTAATCCAGCTGTGCCCCTTATTAGGTCTTAGCGAAGTTTGCCTTTCAGTGCCTCTGTCTTTTGGTTGCTGAGATGGGGTTGTGCACACCTCATGGGATTGTGGTTGTGCAGAAATGTGGGCCAGCAGAGTGCTTCAGCCCATGACTGCCGCACAGCGCTCTGAGTGTTTGCGACCTCCGCTTCTATTCAACACTTTCATTTTTATTAATAGAATAGATGTTGTTTCTCAAGTTACAGTGGGAATCTGTCTGGTAAAGGAAAGGGCAGGTGGAAAGGGATGTTTAAAAAAGTTTGGTGGTGAGCAAGTTATAGGATCATATTTGTATTTGAGAAGTAGAATACAGGGGATCACTGGCTGGGTAGAGATGTGTATGAAGCAGAGAAATTAAGGCAGTGTGCCTGCATTGTAGGTGAGATATAACATTACAGGCATGGAAGGGCCTCATTAGAAAGTGTTTTTGAGATAATTAGGAGGCAACTCTTGAAGGACTTGGTAATGAGTTATTTGTTGGTTAAGTGGAGAACAGAAGAGAGAGGGAGATGGAAGAAGGAAGATAACTTGGTAGTTTCTTTTTTGAGAAAATATTGGTTGATGGTGTCACCTATGAAGCGGAGATGAGAGTCTAGCTTTGGTGAGCCTCTGGACTATTCAGAAGATACTGTTTAAAATACAGGTAGAGATTTGTTTCAGGAGTTTGGGGCAAGAAGCGTAGGTTATGTGTTTCCTGGGAATCAAAATGATAATAAACTGAATGGGGAAATTCCCTCACTTAGAAGCACCCTAGAGCTTAACAGGGCTACACTTTGGAAAATTAAGTAGCCTATCAAAAATAAAAGCATGAAAATCATTTATACTCATTATATAAAAATTAATGCTCCAACTGTTATAGTAGCTATTTACTGAGGACATTTTTTTCTCTTTGTAATAGGAAAAATCACACTGCTGATACTGGATGAAGAAAGTGATATTTTCTTGTTAATTTTTGATGCCATGAATACATTTTCAAACAATGATGAAGTCCAGAAACTGGGATGCAAAGTTTTACATGTGCTGTTTGAGAGAGGTACTAAAAATCTGTTGAATTTTAATGTTGATAAATATATAGTAATGGGAAATGTGGGATATAGTTGTGAGGAAGAAAAGGTATCTAAAATCATACTATTTGTTAATAAATGAGAGTTGTCTGTCAAGGGTAAATAATGGGGTGAATTCATAAATCTTGCTTGTTCCTATGCAGTGAATTTCATTCATAGGCTAGAAATCATACAATCGTGGTAGTATTTCTTTCATTGCTTTGTCAGGCGTAAGATTCACTTTGAAGTCTGGATTTTGTGGGTGTTACGGAGGAAAAAATAAAACTGTGAAGCCAAGCATAGGTATTGAGACATCACAGAAGATTTTTAGAAATGCTAAATGCTCTGTGTGAGGAACCAGGAGACCTCACGAAGTTTCCCTTAGGAAAAAAAGACTTACGTGTATCTTGTCACAGCATTGCACTAAGATTGATAATTGTGATTACTATGTTATTTTAGAGTTGGTTGGAATCTGTGTTCAGTCCTGCAACTGGCTTGATGAGGAAATAGATTGGAGAAGTCAGCAGTTTGCCTGAGGGCACACAGCTAGTTACAGTACAGGTTTTGGGAGTCCTTTTGCTTCATTATGAGAAAAACTGCTGGAGCTCTGGATAAGAATGGTTGACACAGGCTCTATTGTCAATATGAGTTTACCATTCTAATTTTTGGCAGCTCCAGAAATGGGAGAGAGCATCTGATAAGGTTTACTTCCCTGCATAATTCCAAAAGGAACATACATTAGTGAAAAATGGGTGGCAAAGTGGATAAATGGAAATAATAAAGCTAGATTAAGCTCACAAGATTTAACCTTGTATATATTTGCAAGGAGATGGGCCAGAAACTTGGCTTTTGAGAACAGATAAACATTGTTAGTTATAAAGTTTTTGGAGATAAAAGTGAACACAAGACCTGCGAAAATCCTCCCAGGATTCCCCCCACCACGAGACAAGTGCACACATTTTGTCAGGGACAAATGCATATTTTGGCGAAAGTGACTCTTAACAGTCAGAACATCGTGTGCCTGGGGCTCTGCCCTACTGTGAAGGCACTTAGAGAGGATAGTTTACTGTGAGCAAAAAATGAAAGACTATTTTCTGTGGATGTTGTATCTTGCAGCTGACCAAATTGGGTGGGATAGAATTTGAGGTCTGTTGTCTTGAAAGCTTGTAATCTTCAGCGTTGCAGTTGAGGGGCACATTCTTATCCATGAAGAAGGGCAATCACTGCTCTCACCAGCCTTGCAGTGCCCATCCAGGACCTGTGCAGATGGACCAGGGAAGGATGAAAGAACAATCTTAGTCCAGGTGTGGAGCTGGTGCCTGTAATCGTAGCACACTGGGGTACAGTTGCAGGAGGGGCACAAGTTTCCCAGCCTGGGTGACTCAGCTGTTTAGTGAGATCTTGTTTCAATAAATAAAGAAAAAATGGGTTGTAACTCAGAATGAAGGTGTGAAGGCCATGGATTTAACCCCCAGTAACAACAGCAAGAAAACCCCACAAAACTTAGTAGAAAGAATATATCAGTGTGGAGAATATTAGATTATTAATGTAAAAAAGAATACTTTCTGGTTTATCTGGGACTCAGTAATAATAAAGTTAATTTTATAAAAGTTGGTTTAGGGGTAGGAATATACCTCAGCGGCATAAGCACCTGCCTGGCAAGTGTAAAGTCCTGAGTTCAATTCCCGGTGACCCCCTCCCTGCAAAAAAAAGTTAACAAAATTAATTTTCAAAAATTGAAAATATGCTGTGGAAAATATACTATGAAATAGTTCCATAGAGTTGCTCATTAATTAAAAGAATCTAACCAAATTCACATTACATTATATGGATACATTACTATAAAATTTATAAAATTAACCTTGATCACAAAAAATGCTGCGTTTTCTAACATTTTTGTTGGTACCATTTTCAAGCTAAGTAAACCAACTTTTTATACATATTTTTGAAGTTCCAATGTAATGAAATAAATTCCAAATGGAGCTCACTGACTTCATCAAAAACTTTAATTATGAAAACTAATGATGACAATTTTTTTTAATCGCTGATAAAAACCATTAAGGCAGTGTTTCCAAGTCTAACTACTTGCCGTTTGCTAAGTTCCCACCTTTTGAACTGACACATTCGGCTGTGCTGCTCTAGAAGTCCACCATTAGCACCTTTCTTTTAAGTATTATGAAATTATCATTACCAGCAGGCTAGTTATATTGACACTGGCTAGTTTCTGTGGGAAATAATTATATTTTTTGAGAGTAGTTGGTACCTGGCTTCTTTACATTTCAAAATATAATTAATATAAGGCAAAACCAAGATTGTTTTTAAACCAGTAACTTGTTTTCCCAGTATAAAATTCTTAGGAAGGGCTTTTTGCAGAAACATATTTTTATTTGAGTATATTGCATTTGCTGTGTCTCATCCAACTATTATGGTTCTACTTTGGAATGAAATTTACATAATTTTTAAAACTTACATAATAGTTTTTCTTTCATTTTTTAGTTTCTGAGGAACACCTAACTGAATTTGTTGAGAACAAAGATTATATGGTATTGCTCAGTGCACTCAACAGTTTTAAAGGTGAAGAGGAAATTGTGCTTCATGTACTACACTGTTTGCATTCTCTAGCAATTCCTTGTAAGTAGCCTCTATACATGATTTCCTTTTGCATGTGAAAATTACAATTATCTTCTTTCTGAACATGTTTGAAAACATTTTTGAGAGACTTGAGAATGCTAAATTCATTTGTTTGTTAATTTATTAATTTGTATTTATTGAGACTTTTTCAGCTGGCTCGGGGCTTGATGCTGGGGAATCAAGAGTGGAAAATAGCATGTTCCTTGCCTTTTTAGAGTTCTTGACAAGATGGGGGTGGTGCAGGTAAATACCTAGGTGACTGGGATGCACTGTAAGGCAAGGTATGACTTAGAGGTACGAGAAAAGAGAGGAGGCGTGATCACTCAGCAGAGACCTAAGTGAGAGGAGAGCTTTGTGTGTGGGGATGTGTGAGACAAAACGGAAATACCTGCAGTGTGTCCGTTCCAAGTGCAAAGCTACTGGAGCAAGAGAGAGCAAAGTGCATTCAAAAAAAGTCAGTAGTTCAGCAAGCTGCGGGTTTGTGCGCATGTGCGTGTCCACGTGTGTGTGTGTGTGTGTGTGTGTGTGTGTGTGCGTGTGCGTGTGCGTGTGCGTGTGCGTGTGTGTGTGTGTGTGTGTGTGCGTGCACATTTCCAGTATCCGCATTAGTTTCATTGATGTTGTTAGCAGCAGGGGTTGGTTAGTACCAGCGGCTGAAGCTAAGGAAGCAAGGAGGTCAGGAAAGGCCTGGAAAATTTCATGGAAGAGTTTAATCTTCAGTGCGATTCTGGGTGAACATTTCAGTGACACTGTGAAATCTTTCTGGTTTTTGTTTTGTTTTGTTATTTTTTTCACATGAAAGTACAAATAAAAAGAAATTAGTTTGTAATATACACTATTTGCCATTACTAATGGGCTAAATATGCTTCAGATTATGTTTTTTTTTTGTATACAGTGTTTCATATTGCATGTATTCCTTGTGTGGATTTGTACAGGGTATACAGTGCATTTGATTAGTAATGCTTCCTACATGGTAAGTTGTTTTAAGGGTTAAGTGAGTGAAATAATAGGAAAAGTGTACCCAGTGTAGACTATATGTTCTAAAATCACTTACAGCTCTTGGACTCATAGGCTTATATGCGTGGCATGTGCTTATATTTATTTAGTTTCAAATATGGAAATCAGTACAGCAGTCTGAAGATGCAGGGCCCCACTGCAACAGGCTCAAAACAAAATACCTTTGTGAAAGAATGTCTTTGTGATATGTATAAATTTACAAGGTTTTCTTATCCACAGGAAATTAAATACTTGAAAATGGATGAGGCTGAATAGTAATAATGGTCTTCTGTATTTCTTTAAGTCATCACTGCCCACAAACTGAATATATTCTTCATTGTACTTTCCTGGGTTATATTTATCTACTGTTTACTTATTTTGGGCCAGCTGCTTTTGGAATTCATTGTTTTCCACCCACAGCAGACATAACTCCAGTTAAAACGTGTTGATTCATAATATTAAGGTCAAAGAAAGCTGCAGTTAAAGATGAAGAAATCCAGAGTTTTAAACACTGATTCCAAATTGAAGACTTGCCTTTCAGTCTTAGTGCAAATCATGCCTAACTTGTGTGGCACAGGGAATGATTGTTTTAAGGGTCTGTTTGCCTTTATTGTTTCAGTTTTTTTTTTTTAAATTGTGTGGTGAAATACAATGTAAACATTAAATATACTTCTGGGAAAACGGTTAGTTTCAGCTGTGCTAGGAAAAAAGAACAAAAGAAAAATGGTTGGCAGACTGAGTTTTTCTTTTTCAGAGATGTAATTTCTCCATGTAGGTTTGCAGCTCAGCTCACTCTTGACCGAGTTGTCCCAGTGGATTCTCAGTCATACATTTCAATACTGTAATTCCCTTCTCCTTCCCTAGTGCCTCCCACTTCTATCCAGACGCCTTCAGGAAGCTCAATTTTCCTGCCTCCTACACGGGCTGTTCTTTTGGGATGGAGGAAATAGATCCTAGCTGATTTTAGCAGCTCTGTTATGTGACATAGTCTTGACTTTCCTTGTGGTGGGAAGAAAAGAACCAATGCAACAGCTGTCATACATTGGCCTCCTAGGAAATACACCTTCAAATTTGTTTTTAAAAAATACTTTATAGTTATTTATGCTTTAAAATACATGGAAATTTTTAGACTTACAAATAGCCAATTTTTTCTTTATCTTAGAGTTTTAAGCCAAGAAATAAAATTAAGGAAAATTTTCTTTAATGCCAAAGATGAGTCCTATATTCCACTATATTAGCAGTGATTAGCATAGTATTTTCATATCTGTTTAATAGAACTGATATTTAAATTTAGAAATGTAAGCATTATGCTTCTATATTTAACAATCTATGTAAGATGTACTTGTAGGTATATTTGAAAGGAGAAAATTCTTTTCTTATTATAATTATGATTTCTTTACATTTAGGCAATAATGTTGAAGTCCTTATGAGTGGTGATGTCAGATGTTACAATATTGTCGTAGAAGCCATGAAAGCATTCCCTATCAATGAAAAAATTCAAGAAGTGAGTTGCTGCTTGCTCCATAGGCTTACATTAGGTGAGTTATGACTTAATGTACTATCATAAGCTATGCAATATGAGTCTAAATAGCATTTTTGTATCTTATGTTGATGAATAAGTAGAATATTGATGTGGGTTGGATGGAATTACTTTAAAGCAGCAAATTGTTTTGTCACATACAGATGGGCTTTGTTTTTTTTTCTTTTCTTTTCTTTTTTTGGTACCAGGGATGGAACTCATGACTGTGCGCTTACAAGGCAGGTGCTTACATAAATCCCTGGCCCTACAGATGGGCTTTTAACAGGAGTAGTAACAATAGATGTGTGAAATATAAGAGAAGTCTTAATCTTAATTTTTGGGAAAAACTGACTCTAAAGGAGTGTTTTATTGTTAGGTCTGTACTTAAAATGTAATTAGTAACAGTTGAGACCTAAAAAAGAACAGGTGTAATTTATGTAAAAAATGTGAAGCAGAGAACAGAACCTAACTTGAGTATGGTGTATCACCAGAGCTGGAAATGCTCCTTGCTGATCTTTACTCATGAAGGTTAACGTTCTCCATCATGTTGTATTTATGAGTCTTTCCCATTTTAGGTACACTTTTTTACTACATTTTCGTGTTTCCTTAAAATTGTTCATGTGTGCTTGTTTTTCTGTGTATTTCATCAAAAAGAAAACATACTCTGTTGTCTTCTGTATTTTTAAAAAATGTATGCTAGATTTGTAAGAATCATAAATGTTTTTGCATGTAGTTGTGCGTAGTAATCTATTTTATGTATGTGCCTCAAATTTTTATGCATTGTCTATGTAGGAACATTTGAATTCTTTCTTGTTTAATGCTACTTCACTCTGTTGCTATGCGAACAAAAGACTGAGCATTTTTTCAAATATTTCATTGCTTTCGTTGCTTTCTACTCTGTGAAAGGTGTAATCCATCTTTTACTCATTCGAAAAGTAAATTTCAAAAGTGTTTTGTACATTCAGATCTGCCTTCTGACTGCCTGGTATTTGCTGTTTTCTCCCTTTATCTCCTTTTCTTTTAAAAACACCTTTGAATTCTTTAGTCATTAGTACATAGTCACTTTTACATATTCTGTAAATGATAACTCCAGTATGTAAATCCTTTCTGTGTTCCTGCACATTAATTGCACAAATTGACAGGTTTCGTTCTGGCAGTGGGCACAGGCATGCCACGTGCTTAGATCCCTAACCTCCTGCCTTTATCTTTTCCTTCCCTTCCCTTCTCCCCTTGTCCTTTTCTTCTCTGTGAGGCTCCCTACTACTTTCATCTCTCGCCACTCTTTTTTTCTTTCACGTAGGAGAGAAAACAGGATGTTTGTCTTTTCGAATGACTTCTTTCATGTGCCATGACACTCTTTGGTGCCATCTATTTTCCCGAACATGTCGAGTATGTTCTTCTTTATGACCAAGTAATACTCCATTGTGTATATATAAACTGCATTTTCTACATCCATTTTTCCATTCATGGGCTCCTAGGCTGCTTCCTTAGCCTCAGCCCTTGTGAATATGGTTAATATCCAAGCATCTTGAAGACCCAAATTTCAGCTGTTCTGCTTGAGGTGTTTGGGACGAGTCAGAGCAAGAGACTGACCCCAGGAATGTTTGTGACCTTGTGAGGTCCCAGGCTTGGCTGGGAGACCTCTGGGTCTTCCTGTCCTGCATTGTGAGGAGGCGCTAGTGACTGAAGTGGCAGAATTACTGCTTTTGTACAAAGCCACTCCAACTTGTCCATCTGTTTCCAAGTCAGTTCTTGTTCCAACTCTCTGTTGAACTCTGCCCCAATGTGTACATCTTGATTTCCTTGACATTTTTATGAGTGGGTCAGTGCATTAAAAAGTGAGCAGTGAGTGAATGAGAAGGAAGAATTATTATTTTTTGTTAAGTTTATTGGTGCATTTTATGTATATATAGTATCATATTCATCATAGGAAATTTGTGTCTGTGCTTGACAACCCGTCTTCTCTCCTATTTACAAGACTTTGTTTCCAGTTTATTCTTTTTTTTTTTTTTAAATGTTTGGTTTTGTTTTCCCTGGGAAAAGGAAGGATTATCAACAGTCAGCAGTTGGCTCTGATGACTTTTCCCCCAAAGATCACCAGTAGTGTTTTGTGCAAAATTAGGATTATTTTAATAAGCATTCAACTTTTCATCATTACAACTTTGGGGACAAATCATCATTCATTTAAAAAAATCCGCTAATTTTATGATTTATTTGTAACAACTTACATTTTCACCTCTAGAGTCATGATCATATCACTGTATAACTTGGGACTTTAGTGTAAGGAAATTTTCCAGATTGACTTAGTTAAAATGATTTTTTAAAAATACAAGTATATTTTATATGGAATGCTTCAGCTTATTATTTCCTTAATAAGCTTTATTTAATGCTCTTATATTATGAAGCCTCATGACTAAACTTAATATTTGCAGACTTTTCATAGTTTCTGAAATAGTTTCTTATGTACATATATATCTATAATTATCTTGATCCATGAAATGATCCTGGATGATGGGATATTGTTATTATTGCCACATTGACATATGAGAAGCCTTGATTTAGGAAAATGTGTCTTATCTAAGCACATGTGTGCAAAATAGAGCAAAAACAGAGTGAGAGCCTACATTACTGCATCCCTCCACAGTCACCAGAAGCTATGAGGTCTTAGGAGAGGTGATCAGTGGGTGCTAAGTTACAGTTAGAAAGGGATGTGTAGTTCTAGTGTTCTTTTCTCAGTAGGATGACTATAGATAATGACAATGTACCATATACATCACAAAGCTAGAAGAAAGGAATTTGGATATTTTCAGCATGAAGAAACGAGGAAATGTTGGGTGTGGTAGTGCATGCCTCTAATTCCAGAGTTTGGGAGGCTGAGGCAGGAGGATCACCATGAACTACATAAAGAGACCCTGTCTCAGACAAACAAAGAAGAGAAAATGATAAATGTTTGGAGGGATAGATATGTTTAGCCTAGTTTAAACATTATGCATTATTTACATCTACTTACCCCAAAGATACATATAATTTTTATGCCTTAGTTAAAAATAAATTTAAATTTAAAAATTCAACTATGACAACAAAGCATTTCTTTTTCAAAGATGGTAACCAGTTACAAATGTTTTATCTGATTTTTTTTTGTTTATTGTTTTGAGACAGAGTCTTACTATGGAGTTTAGGCTGGTTTGAATTTGATCCTCCTGCTTAGCCTATCAAGTGCCAGGGTTATGGGTGTGCACGACTATACCCAGACACTATTTTACCTTTATCAAATAAGACTTTTATATATTATATTTTATGAAGAACACAACACAGTTGTACAAACTGGATGATACCTGAGAACATTTTAACGTAGCTCGGAAGCTGATTTAAGCCTAGCTAATGAACAGCATGCCTAATGTCCACTTGTTTGTTTCATATTTTGTAGCTTTCCACAGTCAAGTTTCAGTTTGCACACATTACATTAAAAATGTGAATTCACCTTAATTCCTTAAAATGAGCGAGAGTAGGCAAGGTGCAATGGTGCATGCCTGTAGTCCCGACACTCCAGGGCTGAGGCAGGGGGACTGGGAAATCAGGATCAGCCTGAACAACACAGTGTGTTAGTTATTTTTCTTTCATTGCTGAGACAAAATACCTGACCCCCAAAATTAAGGGAGGAAAGATTTATTTAGCTCACAGTTTGTAGAGGTTTTAGTCCATAATCTCCTGGCTCCAGGGCAGGTGGCACATGGCAGAGGGAGCATCAATTCATGGTTGCTGGGGCAGTGGAAGACAGCCAAGGGGAGGGATAGGGAGGAGAGAGAGAGAGAGAGAGAGAGAGAGAGAGAGAGAGAGAGAGAGAGAAGCGAACTAACCCCTTTATATCCCTTAGATGGACCAGCCCTAAGGTGGGTATAGCACTCACACACTCAATCCCAGCATTAGATCATGAATCAGCCACAAACTCTAGATTCAGCTGCCTCCATACCCCGCCCCCCATGACTGAATGAGACTTTGAGGGGGACATCCAGACACAAACCATAGCACATAGTGAGTGGAAGGCCAGCTTGGACTATATTATACAGAAATACCCTGTCTCAGAAACTAACCAAAACCAACCAACCAATCAAATTTTAAAAAGAGAGATAAAAAGCATTTTGTTTTGGAAATGGTATCTTTTCAAATAGGTATATAATGGCACATCAAAATGCTTGGTATTACACTATTGAAATTAAATAAACCATGGAAAGAATCATGTCCTGTATAATTTTGTATTAGTCTGTAACTGTTTTTGAAAAGTAAAAAGCCATCAAATTGGTCTTCAGATGAGGATGCATTTTTTCCCCCTTTAGTTTGTTTTGGAGACTAGATAATTTGTTATTTTTCAAAAGATAAAACTTTTAACTTCCTCTTCATAACTAAAACCAAAACCAAAACCTAAAGTTGCTCAGTAACTATGTAACATGTTTGTCAGATTATGTAATTATGGGCTTAGAAAATTTAGCCTTAATTAATCATTTCTATACATTTTGCGGATTTTCACCTAAGTCATTTGAATGTTAGCCCAGTCTTGCTGTGTTTGCCCAGAGCCACCTGCTGGTCAGGGGTCGGCAGCTGCTGCCAGTAGCATGGGACTAAGAATGGGGGAAGGAGTGCCGAGGCAGCCTCCCCTTAGCCAGCTTGGGAAGGGTGGGGAGACCCTTCTGAAAGAATCTCCCCGGGAGGTGTGCGCAGGCCTGAGGAGTGCTCAGAGCAGGCGCAAAGGAGGAGAGGAGTGTGGCTGGCTAAACCACCTTTGGATTTTGAGGCCAATGATTGATGGTTTGGACTTCAGCCCTTTCACATCAGAGAGTATCTTCACTTCTGGCTCCAGGTCTCAGGGATCATTTCATTATATTTACAGATAAACAGGATTTTATTCTTACTTTTAGAAGGCACCTTGGTGAGTATTAGTGACCGATGAGGGGCATAGGAGAAGGCATACCTTGCTGGAATCTAAGGTATACATTCTTTCCTCAGGAAGACTTCGTGTTTTGAATGTTATGTTAAGGTGTTCACATGACTGGGTATAAAATGTTAGGAGACTTTTTCCTTGTGGGGATTAGTGCTGGTAAACAATTTGTTTCTAAGGATTACCATATGCAAGATCAAAGAGGTATTTCTAAGAGATATTTCTTTAAATGAAAAAAGGTGTTTAACAAAAGGTTTAAATGATCAGAGAGTTTTGACAAAAAGATTATCGTGTTTTAGAAAGCAGGAAAATTATTTCATGTGGTGAATATTGTAGGTGTCATAGAGAATGGATGTCTCATTGTCATTATAAAGCAATGACAGGACAGAGTCAAAGGCCACAAGGGTGAACTGACACAAACTTATATTATTTTTATCATATTGCTATTGTATAAGTAAGGTATGTAAATGACTTCATGGGTAAAACTTCAGATTTTATTTGGTCATATTAAGATAGTTCAATGAAAGTAAATACATGTTTTAATGTCATTAAAATGGTCATGCCTACTCCAATTTATTGACTTGAATGCCATTATATGCTAGACACAGTTTAAGTTCTATGGATGAGAATGTAGATGTTTTTATTAACTTTTAGGTAATTTTTTCAATATCCTGGTATTAAATGAGGTCCATGCTTTTGTGGTGAAAGCCGTGCAGCAGTACCCGGAGAATGCCGCCCTGCAGGCCTCTGCTCTTAGCTGTTTAGCACTCCTCAGTAAGTAGCTTTACAAAGAAGATTGTTTTTGTGTGTTTAGTGCTGGATGTTGAATCCAGGGCCTTGTGCATGCTTGGCAAGTGCTCTACCACTGAGTTAAAGCATGAGCCCTGCAAGGAAAATTCTTATGTGTGCATTCGATGTTGAATATTAACATTATAACAAGAGGACTGCATGCAGAGAAAGAAGCACTAAATGCTTTTTCTGTCTTAATGTAATTCCTTTTTTGATAGAGCTTGTTTTCTAGGGAACTGTGAAGTATGGGTGTTCCTGCTCATACGGGGTTTTTTGTTCGGCATCATTGATTTCATTTTTGTCATCCAGTTGCTAATCTTTTTAAATAATCCTCTTCTAGTTGGTTACACTTTTTGGTATCCTCTTCCTCATTCTATCATTTATCAATATGAAATAAGAGTATTATGATGTATAATATATTAAAATTGCTTTATAATTAACCAAGGCTGCTACTAAAGAATACCTTACTCTGTCGATAACATTTCAAAATATGAATTTAGAGTGTTTGTTCCAACAGTTAGTTCTATGTATATAAAATTATGTATCATTGTACATTTTTTCAAGCTGAGACCATTTTCTTAAATCAAGACTTAGAGGAGAAGGATGAGAACCAGGAGAATGAGGAAGAGAAGGAAGAGGAGGAAGATAAATTGTTCTGGCTGGAAGCCTGTTACAGGGCCTTAACACGGCACAGGAAGAACAAGCATGTGCAGGTTGGACTCTCATAAATATTCCGGTCATTCACAGCGATGGTTTCTAGTCCTTTCTGGGTTGACAAGTTTCTTTTTCTCCTCCCCCAATCCAGGAGGCCGCATGCTGGGCACTCAATAACCTCCTTATGTACCAGAACGGTTTACATCAGAGGATTGGAGATGAAGATGGCCAGTCAGTAGCTCCGATTTTATACTGTTGCAATTCTTCATTATATTTTTAATCAGTACATATAAAATACCTTGATCACAGTTTTCATTATTAGAAATCTTTTCGGAGTAAGCCTGTGTGCCTTAATTGTTGCTACATATTAGTAGTACATATACAGGAGTTTGATTCCTAGCTTTAAATAGTTAGGAAAGGTGGTATATTTGAGTTATTACCATGATATTGGTGATTGAGGTGATCAGTGAATTGTGAATCATGGAGAAAGAATCAGTTTTCTGGAGGATCATGTAAAAATGGCCCATTAATCCATTGCAGGTGTTAGGAATCACAGAGCCATCTGTGACTCTGTTCTGTGGTGATTAGCCAACAAGGATCAGGAATTAGATCTGGTTGGAAACCTCCTGCAGCGTTTTCCCACCTGCTGTGGCAGTGTTGTTCTGTCTTCTCCTGAAGGGGTCGTTTGAAGCTGTCAGCTGGTGAGGAGGCTCTGGACAGCAGGCCATGCAAGCTTCCTAAGACCCGCATTCTTCCAGACACAGACTTAATCGAGAGCTTTCTGTTCATCAAACTGGCTTCTCATCTGGAAGCCTTAGTGTTCTATGGCAGCTGCTGATACTTGTGTCTTGCTCTGGATTTCCTCTGGGGCTTAAAGTATAAGTAACTTACTTTGGAAACTCACATTGTAACATTTGACATCTGGAATATGGACAGCCTATTTGCATAATGATCCATTCTCAATAAGAAGGAAATTGATGAAACAGATACTATTTAATTAAACATTTCCATTTTGAGAAAAACTGATTCTTTTGAAAACTATACATTAAACAAGCCTCAGAATAATCCCACAATGATCAGTCTTTTTTTAAGAAGTTAGGTGAAAGCAGATTCCTGTTGTAATTTATAAATTTCTGTTCTTTGTATACATGTTCTTTAAAATTCATAGGAGCTTCTTACATTAAAATACACCTGTGAACATAGCTTTATGTTTCTTCATTTTTTAATTTTTCCTTTCTGTTTCAATTAATCTGTTTTTCTCACTTCATCTTTTTTCCTCTGAGTACCTTTTTATGTATCTTGTGATCATTTTTATTGATTCTCAGTTCTGGAAGAAATGTGGAAATACTAATTTCTGAACATTCATCCTTGTATGTGGAAATGATATAAAATATTATTTACATGCCTCGTCCTTATTTGTTGTTAGAGTTATTGGGTGGTGTTGAGGACTTGAGCCTATTATTTCCCGGCTGACCACTGATATCACTGTTGAATCCTTTGAAGGTTTCCAGCTCATAGGGAGGTGATGCTGGCCATGCTCATGCATACTTCATCCAGAGAAGTCCTCCAGGCATCTGCGGCTGCGCTCTCCACACTCTTGGAGCAAAATGGTAAGGGGCATGTTGCATTTTTAAATAGCAGAGACAATGCTATGTCTTTTTCTAAAGTCTGAGTATTGTGAAAAATTCAAATATGTAGATAAAAAACTGACATATGCATGTGCTGAGTTATAGGTAAAGGATAAAAGAATAAGTGTTTTGATGTATGTTCTGTACTTCTATACATATACTCACACATGATGTATGCAATATATTTTATATTATTTTGCAGAAATTGGATCATGTTATTCCCTTTCATAATCACATTTTATATTTTTCATGTTGATAAAGGCATATTTTCACATTATCACTTTTAATAGCTGTGTAGTTTTCCTGTGTATGCCTATAGCCTGTCTTATGCAAATCTCTTATTGATACACTTTCAGCTTATGTCTAATGGGATTTTTTTGATCCTATAATAAATACAAAAGGATTGCTTTTGTGTTTTTCCTGTTGTTTTCTTAGCAAAACCTTATGGAAATGCATCTGGGTGGAGAAATGGGTCACCATTTTAAAGTCTGGTAAAACTATCCAGAATGATGTTTTTATGCAACAGTTTTTCTTGAAAATGATCCTTTATATGGAATTATTACTACATATATCATAGTGAAGCATGACTAAAAAGAAAAAATTTCCTTTCAAAGGACCCTTGAAGCTGCTCAGATTCGTGCTCCATAAACAGGAAATACTGCCCGAAAAGATTGGGAGAAAACTCGTCATACAAGCATAGGGAGTTGGCAGCTTTTGCAGGTTATTTTTAGAGATGGAAAAATGGGAAAAAACACTGAAAGATGGATCTGATATGGAGAGCAGTATAAGCACCAGCTTTTAGTGGAGAATCTGGGTGGAGGGTGGCAAGCGTTGTTTGCTTATTTCTTTATACTGTTTAGGTCAGATCATGAGGAAAAAGGTGGTCCTTTCTTTTTTCTGGCCCCATCGTCTCTGGTGGGAGTTTAATAATAAAAGTCTTGGAGTGACAAAGTCTCCTAGATACAAACAGGGCTTGCCTTCAGGGTAATGAATCAGAGTCGGAGGAGTAGGAAAGGGAATTGCTATTCTTGTATCTCCTGTATTCTCCTGTGCAGATAAATGAGCCTGGATAATGAATCCTGAATCTTGCTGCTTCTATATGTGGCTTCTTAGAGAGGAAACAAAGGTGTTTTGTGTTTGTTTTGTTTAATTTTAGTATTTTGAGGCAGGGTCTTTGTAGTTCAGGCTGACCTTAGACTCACTGTGTAGTCCAGGCTGACCTTGAACTCATGGCAATCCCACTACCTCAGCTTTCCGAGTGCTAGGATTGCAGGGGTGCTCCACAATGCCTAGGTTGGTGTGTTGGTTCTGTAATTCTTAGCAACCTGGAAATCTGTGTTGATATGCAACAAAAAAACCCTACGATTTTGAAAGATTTATAAGGCTGGTTCTTATTATGATGTCTGGGTATTAGTGATGTTCAGAATTAATCTTGATATATAGCTTCAAAATCAGTGTTCTACTCTTTCTACTTCATTGTTAGAGTGTTATTTAGGTGTCTGGTAATTGTAAAATATCTTACAAAGGCTCAAGTGATTTCGTGATGAAACTTCTCCCTGCCATAGTCTTTGCCATACAAGTCACACATTGGGTTACTCTTTAGAACAGTGGTTTTTAAAAATGTGGTCCCTGACCCAGTTGCATTTCCTGGGAACTTATTTAATATAGATTTGAGAGCCCCATACAAACCTAAGGAATTACAACCTTTGGAATGGGTACCTAATGATCTGTGTTGTAACAAGGACTCCAGGTAAGTCTGAAGCACACTAAAGTGTAAGAACTACTGGTCTAGCATAACTTTTATTTTAAAAATATCTCCTTGGTTAGAATCTAGTTACTTTGGGAGAGAGTTACAACTTCTGAGGTGATCAAACAAAATAAAAAACTCCTTATATCTTAATGTGTGACATCCTAGTTTTTTAAAAATATGTTACTTTTGGGATCTAGAGGTATTTTAGAGTGTTTAGATTGCTTTTGTTTATTTCCGTATTTTGTTCTGTCTTTTCTTCTTGAGATTGACCATTCTTTTTTTTTAAAGAAGAGCACTTAAATTGAAACTTTCCAATTTTCCTTTTTTGCCACCTTCAGAGCATTGAATTATAGTATATAATGTTGAACTTTATGTTTATATAGAAGCTTCAAGACAATTGATACATATATGAACACTTCAAAGTGAAATATTGCGTTTAGTGAAGATTTTTTATAAAAGCAAAATTAGCATGTAACGCTTATTCTAAAATCTAGTTATTTTTTGCATATAACGCATTCAGTTGTCCACCATGTCTGTGTTAACTTAAGCTTTGCCATTACCCTGTGTCAATAAGTGACACAATTTTGTTTCACAGTGGTGCTTCCTATCCTTTTGCACTTAATGACATATATGGAAATTACATGGTTGGGCTAGGGATTTAACTCAGTAGCTCAAGTGCTTGCTTGGTAAGTGTGAGGTTATGAGTTTGATCCCTGGTACAAAAAACAAAACAAAAAAAAAAAAAAGAGAAAAAGAAAAAAAGAAAGAAATGACATGGTTGTACATTCCCCTGGGAAAAACAGATAAAGTAGTTCCAAACAACCCAAAATGAAACCTCAACAAAGAATTCCCAAATGTGAAAAAACAAAGAATTATACGTGTTTTAAAGAAATTGCATTAGTAACCTTTAAATTTCCAAGTTATATATGTTCTTATATGCACTTTCTTAAGGTGTTAATGTTCTATATGTCATTGTAAAATTATGAAAATGTACTTTCATCTTTATGGTTAACTGCATAAAATATCTTGCAGTTAATTTCAGAAAAATCCTATTGTCCAAAGGAATATACGTCAATGTATTGGAATTAATGCAGAGGCATATACATTCTCCTGAAGTTGCTGAAAGTGGCTGTAAAATGCTGAATCGTCTTTTCGAAGGAAGGTAATATAGGCTACTCAGCTCACACAGAATATATAGTAATCAGGTGGAATATTACTACATCAAGCACATCTCTAAAAATGAAATGAAAAACACAAAGCATTTGAAGTGTGAAATTTTTGCCAGGGGATCTTACATTACTGACATTATAGATTTACTTTGTCTTAACATTAAAAGGAATTGTAGGAATATGGTGAAGGCTTTTTTTTCTGCTTTATGTATAGTATTGATTACATTTCAAAGATGGTAATTGTGCAGATGAATTACAGGTTTTTCAGATTATTGTTTATGAAAGATGTAAAATTTCAAACTCCTTGCAGTTTCTAATTGTTGCTTTTTCATACGGAGCACATTATTTATTATTTTTCCTTCATTTGAATTAACCTTGTCATCTCTTTCTTCTTGTGATCACCCTTTAGCTATGGGAGCTTTTCTTTGCATATAGTTCAAGGCCAGCATTGTTAAGATTGTTTGTTTAGCAGCACAGCAGTGAGGAGATCTTTTTATCTGTATAGAGGATGGTAGGGCAGGAATACTGGACTTAACAAACTTGTTTAAAACACCCAAATTGAGTCTAGTAGATGCCTCCTACAGGATAAGCTCAATACCTTTTTGCAGTTTATTAAAAAAAAAATTTAAGTAACTTTGTCATTGTCTGAATAATAGCAAACAAAAGGAGGTTGTATGGGAAACTGCCATGGGTAAAAGTAGCTAAAGGAATGATTGATACAAATGTTGCAATGAAAACTGGTTTTGTGTCTTGGCTTTGCCACTAGTTTGAGCCAAGTATTTGATTGCTAAACATCAGATTCCTCATATGCAAAAAGAAATCATAATAACCTCATAAACTGTGTGTTTGTGATGTAAGGATCAAATACATTAATTTTCATTAAAGGATTGGTATGATGCCTGCTATATTTTAACTACCATTGCTACAATTATGTGCGAATGAATGGGGTACATATAGCATGATAGGTTGTGTATCACGTATCCACAGGCTTGTAAGGAGTACAGTCATACTGTTTTTACTATCAGTCCAGCTAATTTGCTTAAGTGTATATAAATCATATCTCTATTATCTTCTGTTTAAAAGTTGCTTTTGAACATTTCAATGAAACATTTGTCTTGAACGTTGATTTTTATGGCGCTGGAATTGTGTGACCCTTTCATAAATGATGCAAAAATCTGATAAAGGAACTAACAAAATATGTCTTAGGATTCTGTGGATTCTGGACAAGCTGTTTAATGTGTCTGACAGTTTTCTTATTTGTAAAATGTCTATGGTTCTAGTCTTAAAGATTGAAACTTGACAATAACAACAAGAAATCCCTTCAAATGCTCCCTATTTGGTTGAGACTGATTTGTAAACAGATGATCTATTTTGTGTGATAATGCAAAGGTTATGGTGTATAAAAGTCACAGTGGGAAGAGAATAGTTATTCTCTGATGTTATTAAAGAGAGCAGGCTCCAAAGAAAGAAAGCATTAAAACTGGGTAGAAAGGAAGGAATGCTACATTGCAGAGACTGTGGAACTGTACGGAGTAAGTACACAGCTTCAACATGCACAAGTTTCAGTTAATATCGCACAGTGCAAAGCAAAGCGTGTTTTGATACCTTAATAGTAACTATTAGAGTCTAGACAAGTGAAATTTACTCATCTTAATGCAGGCTAAAACAAATTAAGAGCACCACATGAGAATTCCAGTGTTGTTAGTCTGGCCTTGACTCTATTTTCTTCTAGTTAGAGGACTTTATCCTTTGACCACCTAAGTGGAAAATAGAGATAATAAACTCTGTCTTTTGGGGTTGTGGCCAGTGACCCACATGTAGAGCAGAAAAAACTTATTTTTATGAAAACTATCTGAAATCAGTCTCAGGTTACTGCAAGTTCTGCTTCTTGAAGTCAGAGTTTAATTAACAACTAAAATTTTATATGCTCATGTGATTGAATTCAAATGCACTTTCCTGAAGAAATATGCTGGTTTGTTTTTTCTACATTGGTTTTATTTATTTATTTACTTATTGGTACCAGGAATCAAACTCAGGACCTTACGCTTGCCAGTCAGGCACTTTGCCACTGAGCTATATCCCCGGCACCTTACATTTTTTAAATTTGATGTTTGAGTAATTGAATCAGTTTGTATCTTTAATAAACATGCTGATTTTATCTCTCCAGCAACACTTCCTCAGATACAATGGCAGGGTTGGTCCCCAAAATAATAACAGTTATGAAAAGTCATGAGACGTCCTTGCCAGTGCAGCTGGAGGCGCTTCGAGCTATTTTACATTTTCTAGTGCCAGGTAAGTTATGAAATAGATTGTGCCAAGAGATAGCTGTTTAAATGGATTTTTGACTTTACATGAAATAACAACTTTCTAAGCAGATCTGCAAGGACCAGTTTCTGCCAACCCCTCTCCTAAGCCAAAAGCAGAGGTGAATGATAATGTGGAGGAGCCACTGACGTTAGTTTATAACACAACTTAAAAAGAATATTCAGTATAAGAAATAGCTACAGTATTAAACAGGGGGCTTTCTATCTCTAGGATAGGTGTTCACCTCTCATGCTGCATTTCAGTTTCTGTGGTTGTTACCAGTTCCAGCTAAGCCATTTTTTCCTTGCTTTAACTGTAAAGAGTAGCTAACTTTCATGCCTCATTTCTTGCTTTATTTCAGTCCTTCTTTTACTCTGTGATTGAGTTGCTTTTTCTCCAGTATGACCATAGTGCCTTTACTCATTAACCTTCGTGGCCTCCACCCCCACTCTGCTTACTGCTCTACCTCCCACTTACTTTTGTTGTTACCTGACTGGTTTGCCAAATCCCATTTAGAACACCTATTCCTGAATTCTTTCAACACATATCTATTAAAGTGCCCCTGTGTTCTGAGCACTGGGCTGCTATTATGGCTTGAAAGATGACTTGAAGAAAAGCATGAGTGTGATACTACAAGGGCTTAGAAGTTCACAGGCAGGCCCAGTGTTAGCTGTGAGACAGAATGAGATGCACGTGAATATGAGAATGTTTATGCAGGAACAAGTCATTTATTCAGAGGAGTCGGTCAGAGGTTGTGATGTTTGAGATTGAAGGATTAGTAGGGCTGGCTGGGAGAAAGGACGAAAGGACTTTTCAAGAAGGGACAGGGGCCTGTGATCTAGGGTGAGTGAAGAGAATGCAGAGAGGAGAGCTGGGGGTGGGTGTGGGGGGCAGGTGGAGGCTGGAGGGGATGGATCTGTGCTGGGTGCATTGTGTGTATGTGTGTGTGTGTGTGTTTTAATGACTGTAAACCTAAATGTGTTGGAGGAGCAGAAAACTTGCAGTGCTGTGACCACGTGTGCAGCTTATCACAGTAGCACCGAGGCGTGGAGACTACAGGCTAGGAGAGACAGATGAGGGACGCTGGGTCGGAGGTCTTTGGTAGGCAAGTGAGGCAGGGTAGGGGGCCCTGGAAACAGGCAGGAAAGGATCAGTTTGAGACCTGGTGAGATTTATTTTCTAAGACACTGTAACTACTAAATAATAGATCTAATACTTTCTCTTTTTTGTTCTATAAAATTCTCAATTTTTTGAAGTTCTGTTTTTTCTTCTGAAATGAAATCATCTTTAATCTATCATTTCCTGTGGTTATATGACTAAGAATATACCTACTATACGAGGCTTTTTTTTTTTTTTTTTTTTGCTGGACATGGTGATACACACCTGTAATCCTAGCACTAGCTAAAGAGGAGGATCACTGTGAGTTTAAGGCCAGTCTGAACTAGCGAGACCTTGTCTCAAAAAAAAAAAATTTTTTTTTAAGGACAGCATTGCTCAGTCATTTTTAAAAAGATTCCTTGTACTTGAACAAAAACAACTATTCAATCAGTATTTTTTAATTGAATCATAATTATCAGTTAACTTTTGAGAAATACTTTAACAGATATAATATAAAAATGTTACTGTGAGTTTTTGCATTTTGTAAACAAAGAGGGTTGGGGATTGAGTACAATGCCAAGGCCTAATTAGGTGCAATCCCCAGTACCAAAGGAAAAAAATCAAACATTATTTAAAAATATAAATTATATATATTAACTCTTCCAATTTTCACTGCAACCCATGAAACAGAAGTTTCTCCTCCTCCTTTTACATCTTTGTATTACACGGATGATGAAACTGAGGCATAGAGATACAGTAATTTAAGATTTCAACCTGTGCAGCCTGACTGTTAGGAACTTGCAAGTCCATGGTTATGCAGTGATGTCTGCTGAACACCTGTCGTGTATGAACAACTGTGTTTGGAACCTTTAAGTCTGGAGGTGATGAGATATGGATCCTGCCTTCAAAAAGGCTTATAGTCCATACAACTTAGAAGACTGCTAAGTGAAAAGAAAAAGATACCCATTCTGGGTGTCGGGACCTCAAGGTGATGGAATAAAGAGGAAAGATGAGAGCTAAAGGAAGGTTCATTTGGTGATAATGTAAGGCTGCTTAAATAAGCCTCATTAAACGTGGCAAGACATTTGTACTACTCAGAAGGCCTTTTCTTAGTAGACCCCTCTGCTTGCAGGGTAGTGGATAGCCTCAGAAGGTAAATGTGGTCTTAGTCACTGAAAATGAGACACGGAGAGTTTAAGAGACTCGCAGTGTAGTGAATGTCAGAACTTACTTGAGTACATTTTACATGAAGACTGAGTTCCAGAAGGGTGGGAACCCAGCTTTCCTTCTCGCTGCGGTAGCCCCAGCATGTGGCAAAAAGCCTGGCATATAGTTGGCGCTCCTATTTCTACTGAGTAAAGGAAAGGCAGTAGACAGCCGATTTATAATTTGTGATAATATTCTAAAAATGAAAGATTATGAGTGTTTTTAAATTGTTTCTGTAGTTTCAGATTTGAGAAAGATGGTCTTTCATCGTAATGTTACTGGTACATGGTATGGTATAACAATTTTTTTAACTCTCAGATTTTTCAACAGTTTTGGGATCCTTAAGCTATAGTGTAGATTGATAAGTAGTATTTTAAAAAAATAATAGCACTGTGGAGTCTTTAGATGTCTTATAATTAGGTGGCAAACTCTACCATCTTAATACTGCAGCTGAAATCTTACTTTTTCATCATTTATGTCTGCATTTCATATCTGACCGTATTTTCTGTATTACAAGTAACATTTAACTTTTCTAAAGTTGTCTATTATGTCATGAGAATATTCTAAAATCTTTTTTTTTGTTTTTTTGGTCTTTTTTTGAGGCAGGATTTCACTATATAGTTCAGGCTGGCCTTGAACTCACTTTGTAGCCCAGGCTGGCTTCTGATCCACAGTGATCCTCCTGCCTCAGCCTCCCAAGTGCTTGGATTACAGGCATGTACCACCATGCCTGGCTAAATCTTCTAAAATTTTAAACCAGAGCCAATTCCTACAAAAACCTGTTATTTTAGAAAATTACACTACCATAAGTAATTTCTTCCTACTTTAAATTCAGTAAATATCCATCTGCCTTGTATCTTTTATATTCAGTGATGAAATACTTTTATAGCTTTCTTAAAACTTGATATTATTACCCTAATAAGGAATCACTTACTAGGAAACAGTACATGTGTTTTGTTAGGTCAGTTATGTTAATTTTTAACCAGTGACAATTTGTTCACTTTAATCCTTATGAGAGAAGTATGTATATGTGTATCAGGTACTTTCCATTGCTGGGACAAAATATCCCACACCTGCAGCTGAGGGGTGGGGTTATTTTGACTCATGGTTCCAGTGGGTTCAGTCAAAAGCCGACTGGCTCCAAGCCAGAAGCAGCATGGTGGAAGATCCTGGGGCAGTAGAGCTGCTCACTCTGTAGTGACCAAGAAGCACAGAGAGCAAAGGAGCTGGGGACAAGAATGCCCCTTTTATAAAGGTCACAGCCCTAGAGACCCACCGGACTCAAGCAGCCCCACCTCCCAATGGCACATTCAGCTATGAAGTCATTAGTGGGTTAATCCAGTGAGGAGTAGAGGTCCCACGATCCAATAACCTCCCCAAAACCCCACCTATGAACACAGGAGACTTTGGGGGCACTTTAGATCTGAGCCATATAGTTATATGCATATAGTTATTTATTTCTGTATTTTTGCATTTAGATATGCCAGAAGAATCCAGAGACAAATCTCAATGGAAACTGAATATGGTCAGAAGACAATGTTTAAAGAATGATATTCACAAACTGGTTCTAGCGGCTTTGAACAGGGTATGCTGAATATAAATTTTCTGATTTTATACTGTTTACTAGAATATTAAATTTGGGGAACTAGAGGGTTTTTTTTGCAGTTTAAGTTTTCCATTTACTGTGATTGTAGGAACTTAAGTTGCCAATAGGGATATGGGGGTGAAGGGATGTGTACTAAGTGCTAAATCCAGCAAAAATAAGTTAACTATTAACTATAGATAGAGACAGTCTTCCTTTGATTGTTAGTAGTGTAATTCCACTTGAGTTTGCTTAATCTGATAGATAACCAAAGACTTGGACATACAAATAAATTTCATGAGTTATGTTCGGAACTATGGCTGCTGTTTTATGTCTGTTCTCTCTGGCTGCTTATGGTAAAAATTTCTACCCACAAAAATATACTAGGGAGAACATTAGAACCTTCTTTGATTCCCTGTGCTTTTTTCATTGTTGTACTCAAACATAAACTCTTAAAAGTTCTGCTGTGCATTGTTTTCTTCCCATGTTTGAATTTATTTACATGTCTGTGTACATAATTTGAAAGTTTAATATAAGATGAACTGGTTTTTAATACAAATATGAATAAATGATTAAAGAATGATTAGGGTTAGTGATTTTATGAAAGGAAGATACTATTCAGAGTAATTCATGGAAATGCTTCCTGTTGATTTGGTATACTTTAATAAATGTCATGACTGAATTAGAGTGTCCTCCAAAGAGATCGCCTTTAAAATTCAAATTAAATTGAACTTTATAAGGTAATGTTTATGATATGTGAATCACTTGTATGGAAGCTTTAATATATATACCTGTGTATAGCAAAAGCATATAGTATCATGGATTGTTTAGTTCCAGAAATATTTATTGGAAGTGTATGAAAGAAACTAGCTAGACACTGTGAAGACAAAAATGAGTATGCTTTGTACTCTTCACTTGTGGGTCTCATAATCTGGCTGAATGAGTAAAAACCATGCATGAAACAGACACATTGCTAACATTAGAATGCAGCTATATTAGGTTTGGAAACATACTCTAGGAACATAGAAGAAGAAGTAGTTAATTTTATTCATGGTGAGCACTGATGAAAAGCAAGAGGTGTCAGAAAAGCTTTGTTGATGACTGTGATTTCAGTCTGCCAAACTCGAGTGTAGAGTCGGAATATGTAGAGAAAGACACTCTGTCCAAGACCTTATGGTCCTTGCTGTATCCTAGCAGATGGAAAGATACTTTTTTTCCCCTGAGCCAACACCTAACTAATGACACGCAGCATCTCAGTCAACAGTAGCTGTTACTTACGGTGAAGAGTTGTGGTCATGGGGAAACAGAAGTGGCAGTATTGTATTTTAGAAAGCTCTCCAGTTTTATCTCCCTGATCCTCTATCATCATTGAGAAAAAAAGATTGGAAAGTGAGATAAATAACTCTGAAATTCTGTCATCATGTATCTTACTCTGAATGGTTAAAATCTTCTAAAATTTTAGGTACAAATATTGCAGAAACAAAGAATTGAATTATTATTTAGTCTACAGTCAGTGAGAATTCTAAATAAAACTCGAGTTTCAACTCTGATCCACAAATTTAATTGTTTAATATATACTGTATATATAAAATCTATCATTAGAATTCAAGCTGAAGCTAAAATTGTTGGGAACATTTATGTCCTGCTTGTGCCTGATCCTTTTAGTTTTCTTCCGTTGAAAACTTACAGTCACTTGCTTCATAGAAATCTGTTTCTGCAGATACATTTCTGAACAATGTAGAAAATATATCTTTGATGGTTTGCTAATTCTGTTTTGTATGCAATGACACCGTTGTTCTTTTGGTTCAGGAGACCCTGAAAAGTAAAACCAGTTTGATGAAATGTTCACAAGTCAGAAGAACTTGTGGACTTCACGAAAACCTTGAAGTAACTAGGCATGGTGGTACATGCCTGTAACCTCACAGCTCTGGTAGGCTAAAGCAGAAAGACTGCAAGTTCAAACTCAGTATAAGAAAGCTAGTGGCATAGCAAGACCCTGTCTCAAAAATAAATAAATAAGTAAGTAAAAATGATAAAGACCTGGTGATACAACTTAGTGCAAAGACCATGGGTTTAATCTCTACTACTGCCAACAACAAAATAAAACAACAACCAAAAACCATCCATCCACCCAACCAAACTAACAAAAACCTTGAAGCAATATATTCCTAGCTTAAATATATAAAACGTGTTTCATTTGTCGAAGAACGACAGCATTTGCAAAAGCAATAACAAGAACAATTGGAAATGATCTGTGAGTGCAGTTATAAAGGGCTACTCTACAGAAACTATGGAACTCAACTCAGACACAGTGGAAGAGTTAAACATACAAAATGCTAGAACTTCTTTTTTGATGAAAGACTCATTTTTAAAAATGAAAATTAATCTGTACTTACATATTCAATAAAATAATACTTTCTTGAAGTAGATAAGCTAGTATAAAATTAATCAAACAATAACTTTTATGATTCAGAAAATAGAGACAAATGAAAATGTCCAGTTGATATACGATATTTCCTAATACTGGAGGAAAAATATAGTTTACTCAGTAATTTGTGTTGAAACCACTAGCTTTTCAGCCATCTGGGAAAAGCAAAAGAAGCTGAATATTTACCTGGTTCTTTTTGTCAAAACACATTGTAGGTAGATGTAATGTAATGGGGAAAAATAAAACTGATATATATGCATATGAAAAGATTTTCAATTTTAATCATTATAAATGTAAATTAAAAAGAAAGACCTTTGGAGGAAAATTTAGTAATGTTTGTTAAAATTAAAATGGATATGGTTTCTGATCAGAAATTCCATCTTAGGAATTTATAAAACAAATACCCTTGAATGTATACACAAATATTTTTAGACAAGAATGGTCATTGTGCCATAATTTATAAAAAGAAAAATATGGCAACAAACTAAATATTTATTTGTTAACCATAAGTGTTGTTTAAAAAATATTTTTAGTTCCCCGTCTTCTGGTGATTATCAGTATTTTGTACTACTTTATTTTAGACTGTGTGACTAGTTTTGGTTAAGGAATTACAAATAGAGATTGTTTGTCATTTCTGGGCCACAACATTTGATGGCTGGTGAGGTATCTTCCAGAACATTCTCTCAGGCACTATGACCTCTGACAGCTGAAATAGTGGTGGTTCTGTCAGCAGAAGCCCCTGACTGACAGTAATGAGCAAGAGCCTTCCTGAGCTGCAACACATATATAGCTTAAGCAAGAACTGAACTTATTATTTTTGCAGCCTATAAATATTGAAGAGTTTGACTGCAATTTAATCTGTCCCAATATTTTTTTATTTTTATTTTTTTACTCTGTCCCAATATTATAATGACCATCAATGAAACTAACCAAAGCAGTTATAGTACTTTCTAATTATGTAGTTCTGGATAAAAATAGATTAAAAAGCATGAGACTCCTAATGTGCTGCTAAAAAAGCATCTTAAATTCTCTAATGATTGTATTCCCTAGGTATCATTTTTTCTTTGTTTATGCTAACACATTAGTCACATGTTTTAATGAAATTAGTATATTTCCACTTTTTTATGTCTGGGTTTACAATCTACAGGTTATATACCTTGAAAAAAATATTTTTTGCCTTAGTTTCATAAGTATAAAAGAGATTTTAAATGATTTTATGAGATATTTCATGTGAAAGTATCAGTACAATCTGTAGTACATAGTATGAACTCAGTAAATATTAACATTACTGCTATTAGATCTAAAAGTATCTTTTGACCTCTATCCATAAAAGTTGAAAATATCAGAGTACTCACACTTCCATGCCTCTTTGTGTTTTCCCAATAATTTGTGAAATAAGTAAATAGCTTCTATACTGATCGACGCTTACATTCCACTTTGTAGCTATACTTCCTAAAATTGCTTTCATTTTATTATTTTATTATTTCAGTTACATGAATTCATTGTTAGCCTCCTTTTGTTACAGTGTTTCCAGTCAACTTCCATTCCTTTTTGCTTTCAGAATTTCTTTTTAAAAAGCTGCCTTTCTGAATATTTAATACACAGAGCTCATAATGACAGTCTGACATTCTTTTTTTTGGAGTGGGTCTTAAATTTTTTCTTCAACTTGTGTAAATAATTACAGGAATCTACGTCATAAAGTATTTGTGAGAACTGAATAAGTACTATAGGTATTTCTGAAATGCTTAAAGAGGGCTCCACACACACACACACACACACACACACACACACACACACACAAGTGCCATCTACCTTTAGCCTCTTTACTGTGCCTGCTGTGCTGAAGCCAGATTTACATATGAAATCCTACCCAGGAATAGAAGACTTTTAAGAAGAGAGCTCTTCACAGAGTCTAGAGTTGAAATGAAAGATTGTAAAGGAGAGGAACAAATGAATGGTTTTAAAGTTTAAGGAAAATTAGGAGAGTGCTGTCTCGGTACTCCAGGAAGGAGAAGGCAACAATTAATGGTAGTGAACTTTCTTCAGTGAATGGTTTTAATTTAGAGTGGTTAGAACAGAAGTCTGATGACATGAAATTAGGTAGGAAGAGCCTGGAGTAGTAGGTGGAGACTTTTCTATTAATAACTTTATAAATGAAGGAAAAGTGGTAGCTTAGTGGAAGGAAAGACTGATGAAGGGAAAACACTCAGTAAGTAGGGAGTTTCACTTCTAAGGAGTGTTTCACTTGGGCTCCAGCCTGAGGTCATCGCTTGTGTTAATTTCATGTACAGAGTTGTCACATTTGACCCTGAACAATTCTGCTTTACTAGAAATGTTTCAGAGGCCAGAATCTTGAAACAGACACCAACTCATCCCCCTATCTTCACATGGTATGACACTGTTTTTGTTTATATTTGTTCAGTAATTCTGTTAATTACTTCTGAGTAAATCCTATTTTGCTCTTTTTCTGGTCTTCAGATTTGCCGAATTTAAACCCAAATCTAATAGCTTCAAAGCTGATGTACTTTTACTACTCAGGGAAAGCTGATATGATGGAAGCAGAGACAGGAAGAGTGCCAAGAGAGGCAGGGGGAAGAGAGTTTTATTGAAGTGGTGGAGGAAATGATGTCCAAACATCATTTAACCCTCCATAGGAGTGGAGAACAGGGGCACAGGATGAGAGACTATGCTTCTTCCTACTCCCTCCCCGACTTTGTTTAAGTATAGTGAATACAGCAGTTGAGAGGCACTGAAAGACGGAAGGTTATAGATTTGTTCACTAAGTACAGAGTAAGAAAGGTTGGAGGGAAGAAGGTTTGCCAAAGGTGCTACTCCTGAGTTTGAGGTCTGACCTGATGCTTTCAGCTCTACCCTGTACCTGTGGTAGGGAAATCAGATCTCGGTGTTGAGAATGACAAGGAACCATTGTTTGTACAATTTCATCTATATGAATCAGCTAAAATCTGAAAGAGGATAGCATTGTAGCATTTGAAAGGAAAACTGAGAGCTGGGTATTAGCATTATGGTAGGAAGACGTTTGGAGAGATTGTGTAGGGAAAACCAGTGGAGCCCAGATGACCAGAGAAAGAATTAGATATATTTCTCAGACTTCAAAAGAGAAGACTGTTTGACTGTTTGTCCACAAATATGTTGGTGATTTCTTCTCCGTGAGTAAGATGAATTAGAAAAGGAAGCAGCTTCATTAGAATGCCCATAAGTAGTGTTAAATCATCTGGAGGAAATCCAGATTAAAGAAGTTGGAAAATTTTATGATTAAGATCCTAAGCTTTTAAGTCAGGCACACATTTACAGTCAAGATTTGGGCCTGACACTTACTGTTTATGTGACTTGAGCACTCATGCCCACATCTTTAAAGTCTGTCAAATCTACTGCATGAAGTTCTTAAAGGGAATAAATGAAATAAATCATGGTAAGCACTTGGGTAAGACTAAATGCTCAATTAGTATTTTCTGTTGTGAGAGACAATGTTGCATCTTACTAGATAAGTATTAGGCTTTGGGATCAAACAGCCTTGGTTTTGTTTCAGTTCTACAATTGGCAGTGTGTGTGTGACACAAACCTGTCTCTCTGTAAACTCATCTTACATTGGTGATAATCCATTTTGAATTGATTCTTGTATAACTGAGAGATGTTAGTCAGATTTCAGTATTCCCATGTGAATATCCAGTTTTCCCAGCACTGTTTATTGAAGAGGGTTTGCTTTTACTAATGCATAACTTTGGAATGATATTAGCATGAATTTCATGAAGTTTTGTGAAAAGAAATTATGTATTCAGTACAATGGCTAGCACAGAACAAGAACTCAGTGAATGCTAAAGTGCTAGTTCTCAGAGCATAAAAGTAATGAATAACAGAGGACAGAATTAAGGATACTAATTTGTATTTGGATTACTCTATTTGTTAGCAGTCTGTAACTGGTACAAGTATAAAATCTCAATTTTAACAGTAAATATTCTTAAACCTCTTTTGACTTTTAGTTCATTGGAAATCCTGGGATTCAAAAATGTGGCTTAAGAGTCATTTCTTCCATAGCACATTTCCCTGAAGCATTAGAGGTGTTATCCCTGGAAGGAGCTATTGATTCAGTGCTCCGCACTCTGCAGAAGTATCCAGATGACCCAGGTTGGTACTAGGGTTCAGAGTCAATTATTGTCAGCCACTAGTTTTTGTTCTCAGATGTTTACTTTTCTTTGGATTTGAAGTTTAAAATGATTGATTTTGTTATTTTTTTTTCTCTCTGTCCTAGAAATTCAGTGCCTGGGGTTAAGTCTTGTAGGATGCTTGATTACAAAGAAGCATTTATGCCTAGGAGCTGGGCATCTGGTGGCAAAAATTCTGGTTTACAGTTTACAGCGATTTAAAGATGATGCTGAAGTACAGTTTAAAGTACGTGCGTTGTCTGGAAGGGGATTTGGGAACTTGTGCAGAGTAGTTTGTGTAATTCCCACTTTGCATTTGGATATTCTAGTTAATTAAAAACCATTTATCATTTTGTAGTATTTTCATTAAAGAAGGAGAAAGAATTAAATTGACTCTCTAAAGATCTGGAGTTTCATTATTAGATCTCTCAGATCAGCAGTTTGTTTACCATTTGTCTTTTCTGTGAAAATGTGCTGAAGCAGTTTCAGTTAGCTGAGATTTTGCCTAGATTTTAGATAAAGGCAAATTATAATTATGCCAAGGTTTGTCACTCTCTGATTTATGTGGGCTACTTACCTCTAGTCATTTGCTTCTTGATTTTTTTTCCTCCAGTGAAGCCCATATTTTAAAATATTTTTCATCAAATAGAATTTAAATCATGATATAAAATAACTGTCTTGGGGCTGGGGATTTAGTTCAGCGGCATAAGCACCTGCCTTGCAAGCAGGAGGTCGTGAGTTCGATCCCCGGCACCGATAAAAAGGAAAACGACCAAAAAAAAAAAAAAAAAAAAAAGAGCCTAAATAAGTGTCTATTGGGCTGGGGATTTAGCTCAGCAGCATAAGCGCCTGCCTTGCAAGCAGGCAGTCATGAGTTCGATCCCTGGTACCGATAAAAAAAGGAAAAAGACAAAAAAAAAAAAAAGGCTATAAAGGATCCAAGATAGCCTAAGGTTGATTCAAGGGAGGATAAGAAATACATTATTAGTTGGTGCAGAGGCCCACACCTGTATTTCCAGCTATTTGGGAGCCTGAAGTGGAAGGATTACATACACCAGCATTTGGATCCAGCCTGGGCAGTGTAGCAAGGGCCCTGTCCCACATATCTCTTAAAAAAGAAACAAAAAAAGGGAAATAAACTGATTCCGTTTTTAAAAATTAACAAAACAAATAATCATTTTTTAAAAAAATAATTTCTCTTGGGTTTTAGTAATTATGATTTGTATCTTTGGTAAAGCACACTCAAAAAAATTTTTTTTTCTTAAATGGCAGCATTAACCAGGAATAAAAATATCTGTTAGATATCTAATGGAAAACTTTGCACAGATATATAAAGTACTGAATACATAGCATTTTTAGATTAAAAACAACGATGCATTTTATAAATCTACTTTTTAATGGAGTGTTTAATGCTATGCTGATTAAAGCCAAGGCAGTATTGATTAAAGTAGTTCAAGGACAGAAAATGATTTCATGCAGGTATGAAGCTTTCAGTATCTGGGATTCCTAGGGTTAAGGTTATAAACTGATAATTAAGAACTCAAATCTGGCCTGTTACATATTTTACTTAGCCGGCCCAATACTGAAAAGTTTTTAATCTGTGCGACCTGCCGTCTATGCGTGTGTGAATCACTAGTTCTTCCTCAGTGCTGGTCCCTCTGTCTTAGAGGCAGGGCCACTGTCTCTTGCTTGCCTAAATTGGGACTCCTATTCTTCTCAAATGTTAGTATTTGTATATTTGTATAACTTTTGCATCTTAAACTCAGCATAGTAGTGATTTCAATATTTAGACAATTTCTTTCATATGTTATAGTAATCAAGCTGTTGCCTGATGAGTTTTCCCAGGCCATTTAATAATAGTAAAGTGAGAAGTCTCATCATAGTTTCCTCACATGGCTAAAGAGATAGAATCTCTTTAGGGGATGTTTGCTTCTGAATACTATTTTTGTTCTTTATAGAGAACTTGCTACGAGAGTGTACAGCTCAGAATGCCTTAAGAACTCGCAAATGCAACCAACATTAGTGAAATCTAGAAGTACATATTTTTCTTTGTGGTTAAAATTTCAGGATATAGCACAAAAACATTGAAGAAATTCTGACCCATTTAAAGAACCTACTCTGTAATCTTATAATAAAAATAAAACTTACTCTATTGGCCTGATTTTTAATCCTGATTAATATCTAGCTTTCATCTTATGTAAATAGATTCAGACGGGGATCTTGTATGCCAAATTTTAGGGATATTTTTTTCCTGCCTTGTTTGAAGATGGTTTGCTAACTAGCATTTGTTCTCTGCATTTTTTGGGCGTTGCATAATAACAAGAGAGAAAGGAGTATTTACAGGGTTGTTTCAGGGTTCACAGTTGCCCAGCACAGCTCAACAAATATATCTGCTTAGTGAAGTGAATACATTAGGTATCAAATGTCCTATACAAATCATCTTTTATATTGTTCATTTCCTTTTACCCATAGTTGTTCACATTATTATTATTTTTGGCTTTACTTTCAGGGATTTCAGACAATCTTGGCAATACTTGAATTGTCAGTATCTTTTTCCGAGTTGCTGGTGCACTACTCATTTGATTCAGTAATATTCCATCAGTTGTCTTCTGGCATAGTGGAACAGAAGGATCGAAAGGTATGGCGTTTCACCCAGAGGCTAAAGTTGATACATTTAGCTGGCTCTAATTGGCATTTGTATTCTTTGTAGTTTCTAAGTCTCTGTTGCAAGTGCTTTGCAAAATTAGCTGTGGATGATGAGTTAAAAAGTGTGATGCTGAGGAGAGCATGTGATCAGAACAATAGCACTATGGTTGAATGTTTACTTCTCCTGGGAGCAGATGCCAATCAAGCAAAGGAGACAACACCTTTAATTTGCCAGGTAAAAATTCAAGGCCTCATTTTTGTCTTTTCTCTACTATTTGGCCTCTTCATTGTATAGCTCTCCCCTTCTTTTTCTCCTTCATATTTCTTGAGATATAGTTCATGTATCATATGATTTGTGGATTTAAAGTAGACAATCTAGTAAAGAGTGGTGGCACACATCTGTAATTTCAGCAATACAGAAGATTGAGACAGGAAGATCTCAAGTTCGAACTCTGTCTCTCTCTGTGTCTGTCTGTCTGTCTGTCTGTCTGTCTCTCTCCCAAAATGAAACTGTATAACCCTTAGTAGCCATTCATCATTTCTCTTCCCCACCACCTATCCTCTTCTCTCTGTCCTTTGGCCTCATACAATAAATACTGACTTATTATCTCTATGAATTTTCCTATTTTGGACATTTAAAAGAATATTCTTTCTATTTAACTGCAATTATACATCCTTGAGCAGTATCTCTCTATCACCCCTTTTCTTGACCACTGAGCCTCTAGTAACCACTGTTTTCCTCTTAACTTCTATGAGATCAATTTTGATTTTTTAGATTTCCCAGATGAAGGACATATCTTGTCTTTCTCTGCATGATTATTCCACTTAATATATTCTTCAGATTCATTCATGTTGTCTTAAATGACAGGATTTTGGTATTTTTGTAGTTGAACCATGTTACATGTGTATATATGACACATGTTCTTTACCCATTCATTGGTCGATGGGAACCTATACCAATTCCTTATCTTGATATATTAGCAAGCTTTCCTATTGCTGAGGCATGACATCTTAAAGGAGAAGAAATTTAACTTGGCTCATGGTTTCAAGAGATTCAGTCTGTGGTTGGCCACCTCCAAGGCAGAAACATCATGGTGTGAGGGTGTGTTGGAACAAAGATGCTTAGTATATAGCAGCTGGGAAGCATAGCATGGAAATAATGCCGGAGACGAAGGAGAGAGTGACCACATAGATTATATCCTTCCTCTAGGATCCACCCAGACAACCCACAAGTGTGTTTTACTAACCGCCCAGATAGATTCTAAAGCCAGTCAGACAGTTCACCTTCACCTTTGCACTTGGTTATTGTGAATAAGGGTGCATTCAGCATGGGGATGCAGATATTTCTAGTTCCATTTCCTTTTTATATTTGAAACTCTTTGAAATTTGATATGCATTTCCTTGATGATGAAGAATGCTGAGCATTTTTTCTATACTTATTTGCCATTTGTGTGTCTTCTTTTGAGAAATGTCAATGCAGGACATCTATTATTATTTACTGAAGAATTTACCACTTATTTATCAGTTGTTTCTGATTTCCAGGGGGAGTGAATAATCACAGAATTTCAGAGGTAATAGGGTCCCATAGATGTTGTCCAGTCTAATTCTTCATTTTACTTACTGACATTATTAATTGGCTAAGTAACTTTAAATATTCTTTTACTGTGCATCTCTATACAACTTGTTCTCCAACCATTCTTCACACAACTCATAATTCTATGGTTTTGATCATTTTTCAATAAGAAAAGAAAAGAAAGAAAAGAAAAGAAAGAAAAGTAGCCTAAGATGTTCTCCTTTGAGAGCTACTGTACGTAGTTATGCAGGCTCTATACTACACTGTTTTGAGGTGTCACTACATAGACAGCCCTTCCTGTGAGCTATTACTGAGGCTGTAAAATACTGTGATCTTTCTTTTCTTCTCTTTTCTTTTCTTCTCTCTTCTCTTCTCTTTTCTTTTTCTTCCCAAACTGTACAAAGGCAAATCTGATTGTTCTTCTTTTCCATCAAATCTAGTCCAGATTCTTTTTCCTAAATGAAACCTTCCTCTCACCTCCAAACCCTCAAGTAAATGTAGCAGTTACTTTTTTGTAAATTCATGTAATTTGTGTATGCCTCCTGTACATTTTGTAAGTTGTATGAAAATGGAAATGTACCAGTGTTCATGTTTGTGTTACTCAGAAAATCTAGCTCATTGTTTTATATATATATATATATATATATATATATATATATATATATATATAAAATCAGTAAATGTTTGCTGGATTGCAGTCCAGTATTTCATATTTTTCTTAGTTGTATGAACTGTAGACTTACATAGATGGCACTGAGTCTATTTCTAGAAATTTAATAGTTCTAACAAAGCAATTACATAGCAATTTAATATACAATATTAAATAATCAGCAGAGTACTATGTTTTTGAGTACCTTATTTTTTAAGTCTTTATTTAATTTCACACTTGCCTTTGGATTCAATTTGTGAGCTCTAAGAGTAAGTTAGTAGTAATTAACCATCAACATAAAACAGAACTTGAAACTCATTTGCATGTGCTATTATGTTTATGCCCTGAAGCCACAAATATAATCAAATTATTTAAATTTAGTCAAATTTATTTTAATCAAGTGACATTGAAAATAGTCACTTGTTATTAAAAGTAATTAAATCATTTCACTCAATAATTTAATATGCTTTAATTGTACATCTTTTGTATGCAGATCATTGCATTATTGTTACTTGGAGAAACCAAACAACTCAAAAGAAACTTTCCTTTCCAAATTCTCATTAGGGACACAACATAACAAAAACACCCAAATTCAACTGGATTACATGCACTGTGAAAAATGCTTCACTCTCTTCTCTCAATTTACTCAAATATTTCTAGACACAAGATTTTTTAAATTCATCTTATCATATTCTTTATACTTCATGTACTTTTTATCTTCCATTTTAAAAACAATCAAATCTTTGGGGTTGGGATCTATTTCAGTGGGACAGCTCTTATCTCATACTGCATGAAGACTGGATTTGTTTCCTAGCATCACAAAACCAAAACAAAAGAAAAAATTCTAGATATTTACATTCATGGATAACATGTTTTGTTAAAGGAATTTATCTTGCTTGTCAGAGAGGATTCCTATGCAGCAAATAATAAATGCTATTACTGTGGACAGATTCATTGCACCTTATTTTGTGTGGCAGAATAGGCAATCAAGACCATTTACTCATTTACCAGAGGCTACATAATGAAGGACTATTCAGAGCACAGGTTGAGCTAACCATAAAAGCATTCTGGAAATTTAATATTGTAAAATATGTGTTTGCTAGAGAAGAATGCAGGAGACTTACTAATGGATGTAAAAATCCGTGAATAAAGACCACTAGAGGAAGCCTATGATATCACTTTCATAAACACTGACATTCAGGTGGCAGGTTATTTGCATTATATTACTCTGATACTTATGACACTGCTCTTATTTTCCTAATCTATTTCAAGAATAAGATTTTATTTTGTTGAACTTAAATTTTTGTGTAGTGAAAAACCACACCAAGTTCAATTTACCAGTCTCCCAAAAGGGAAGTTCGTAGTTTTTTCATTTGCACATTTTTCCCCCTTTAATAGGTATGTGAGAAGGAAAGCAGTCCCAAATTGGTGGAACTATTACTCAGTAATGGAGCCCGTGAGCAAGATGTAAGGAAAGCACTGACCATAAGCATCCAGAAAGGTGACAGCCAGATCATCAGCTTACTCTTGAAGAGGCTTGCCCTGGATATGGCCAACAATAGCATTTGCCTTGGAGGATTTTGCATAGGAAAGATTGAAGCTTCTTGGCTTGCTCCTTTATTTCCAGATAAGACATCTAATTTAAGGAAACAAACAAGTACGTATAAACAAGAATATTTTGGACATTGCTGTATTAACAAGATGTGTAAAATACATCTGCCTTGTCATTTTGCAAGTTAATATGTACTTTGAATTCAATTAAGGACGTATTTTTTTGTACTTCCAAATTAACAAGTATACTCACCTTCTTCCCTATGGTCATCCTATTCTGTGATTTCACCAAAAGGATCATCTTGCTAATAACATTTGCTTTTACTGTCATTTTTTGATGCAAAAATGGATCCAGTGTAAATGCAACGACTTGACTGGCAATACACCAGCACTTCCCAGCCTAATTAATTTTTTTCCTCATTTTCATTGTGTACCTGAGTGCTGCTAGAAAAATTATCTATCCATCTACACTGGTTGCTCTAGCTGTCTTCATTCTCCCTGCCTCAACACCTTCACTTTAATTTCCACCCCCTGGAAATCTGAAAGAAAAGTCCTCCTACCTGCTGTCATAGTGCCTTATTTCTTAACTATTTTAGTACTGATCATATTATGCTACTGTATCTTTTCTTTGTGTTTCACAGTCTACCTTTGTTAGATTCTAAGCATGTAAATTTGGTCCATCACTGTAACCCTAGTATCTATACTAGTGCTTTGCACATAATATATAGTTATTACACGTTAAATTTTTAAACTTTATTTTTATTAGTACATATTTTTTATACCTTTTTTTGGAGACAGGGTCTCACTATGCAGTTCAGGCTGGCCTTGAGCTCACTTTGTAGCCCAGGCTGTTCTCGAACTCACAACAATCCTCTTGCCTCAGGTTCCCATGTGCTGGGATTACAGATGTGAGTCACCACACCGGCTCCGTCATACATATTGATCACTTTTGTCATAGGGAATTTGTACCTGTACATAATATATGTTAATTCTTCTTTTCCTCATTCTCCTCCCCCCCCATTCTTCTTCCCCTTCCCATTAACATAAAGCTTTGTTTCCCTTCCCCCCTTTATTCTTTCTTTCCTTTCCCTCTTCCTCCTCCCTTGTTCCTCTTCCCAGGTGAACATTTTTTTACTACTTCCCAATATCTATCTCCAATTACGCATGTAAACTATTGACAAAAATCAGAAGTTGGTAATAAATGATGTTGAAAAGAATATGTGGAAACATTTCTCATGTTGTTGATAGCAATTTAAAGCCTCTTCCTTTTAGGACATATAGTGATACTCATTAATATTTTTAGTATACATACATACTTTTAAAATATTTTTAGTTTTTAAAATTGGTATATCAAATTGGTACATAAGATGGGAATATGTGAGTTTTAGACTCAGCAGTATAGCACAGTACAAACATTTTCAGTGTGCATAAAGAATTTATATAGGAGTGTATAGCAGAATATTGTTTATAATAGGAAAAGATGAGGGGAAAAGCCAATGTATTTCCCAAAAGGAACTATTTAAATAAATCATGGTACATTCATGCAGTGGATTGCTTTGTGTCATTGAGGGAAAAAAGTAGCAAATTCAAATGTCTCCTAGAAAATGCATTAAGTGAAAAAGAGAAAGCCTGGAACTGGGATGTTAGCATACTAATGATGATGAAAATTCAGCTGAGATATGGGAGTCATATATATGTGAATATGAAAATATTATGTCTGCAAAATGCTCAGATAGATTCCCTAGCTGCCGTTTGGGGCATGGGAAACTGACCAGACCTGATTTAGTGCCATGTTCTCTCACTAGGTTCATGTCACCAAGCTGCTTACTTTAGTATCTGACTTCCTACTGAAGGTATTGTGGTTCCGGGCAGATGTCTACCATTTGCTATACTCCCTTTGTTCTGTGTAAAGGTGTTATAGTTAAAAAGTTAATATCTAATTAAAATAATGTAATAATGTCAGTTGATTGATTGGAGAGTAGGACCACAGTTTCTCTGGCAGCTGAGCTGAGTAAGGAACATTTTGGATTCATAACTTTACAATATTTTTCAGGGACTACTTGGCTGGGTCACATACAGAACATTTAATGTGAGATATTTGAATTTAATGTGACTAATATTTGAAGAATGTTTTCAGGCTATATTTAGAACACTGAGGAGCCTGCCAACTTATTTCTTCACACTACAATGTAATGGAATTTCAAGAAGAATTTTAACTTTGAAATTCTATCAAACTTCCCAATGAATCACTCAGGAGAGATTATACAAATAACTGTATCATTTATTTAACATTTATGTTTGCGTCATTGTGCTATTTCTCATGTGTCACTTCATTTAATAGTTTCTATGACCTGCTGAACATGTTGTCATCTTCACTTTCCAGGTGCAGGCACCGATACCAGAGAGCTGACATGGCTTACAAGTGGCTTTGCTCTGATCTGTCCCTTTGTCCTCTCCTCTTTGCCTCTTCCACGCTCCCTACCCCCCCTCCCCTTGCATTTTCCCTTTCCCTCCATCTCCTCCTCTTGTTCTTCCCACTCCTTCCTTTTCTTGTGATACTGGGAACTGAAACCAGAGCTTTCACACGGAGCTCTATCCCTATCTCTTTTTTTTTTTTTTTTGTTTATTAGCTGTTTAAACAGGATCCTGCTAAATGGCTCAGATTGGGTTCAAATTTTTAGTAACCTTGCTTCAGCCTCTCCAAGTGCTAGGATTATGTGCAAGAGCTACCAAACCCAGCTCTCAGTCCTTTCTTAAAACAAACTATTTACACAGAGGTTCGATTTTGTCATTTATATTAAAGCTTTAGATAAATGCTAGTGATTTTTAAAAAATTTTAACATATCACTCTGGTAATTATTGAGTATCATTGTATATTATAAGGTGATTTTGGAAAACTCTCCAGAAGTATGAGAGCATATGAAACTTTTGTAAGATATATGTTTATGTATAATTGTGAATTTTGAAGTTGCTGGTATATTTCTTTGTATTTAGATATAGGATCTGTGCTAGCAAGAATGGTGCTCAGATATCAGATGAGAAGTGCTGTTGAAGAAGAAGCAGCCTCAGACAGTGACAGAAATTTTTCTGAAGATGTACTTGATAAATTTGATGACTGGACCTTTATCCCAGAGTCTTCGATGGACTGTGTGTTTGGTCAGAGTGATGACCTGGATAGCGAAGGTATTTATTACAAAGCCAAGTTCCATTTGTTCTTTACACATGTACACTGCTACTGAACAGTAGCTATTGAGACTGAAACCTGGAGACCTGTGTGTGAAATACGTTTCTTACTGGAAACAGTTGTGGTCACTCCAGTTCAAGCAAGAACATGTGTATCTGTCCTTCTAAGTGTCACACACATGCTGATCAGTTACTGGTGGCTATTAGAGCAAAAATGCTGGCTTGGACAGGAGATGTGTTCTGTGTCCTGGCAGGGACTCCATCTTACTGTGGCTTGTGCAAGCTCCTTATCCAGGTGTCATGCCAGCCCTGCAGGACTCACTGTAAAGATTCAAAGTAAGTAAAGTGTCTGGACTGCCTGGTGAAACAGAAGACAGTGAATAAAATCCTTTTGGCTTTTATTATGATTAAAAACAGCATTAAGATTTTAATAGCTCACTTGACAATTTTTTACAACATCGATGCACAATGCTACTGATTATGACTGACATTTAATATAATGCCTTTTGGTAAGAATGGGAAGGCAGCACTTTTTTATTTACTGGATGGGACTGAAACTTTTGATACAGTAAAGATTTTTGAGAAGGCAAAAAGCAAAGTTTTCTCCAAATGAAATGTTTCAAGTCTAATTTTTATAAGTCATCTTTACTGTTATTGAGTAGGTAACATAAAATGTGTTCTTTGAAGTAGATATTTTCATGGGCTTTGGAAATTTATAAATGTTGAGTCATCACTACAACCAAGTTATGCAACATGTAGAAAAGTTCCTTTGTACCTCCTCACAGAACATGACCCTTCAGTCCTTGTACCCTGGCAAGCACTTATCTGCTGTCTGTCATTACACATTAGTGTTTTCTCCAGTTTCATATAAATAGAATCACACATTTGTACTCTTTTGTGTCAGGCTGTTTCCCAAGCTGGTTTTACCATGTTACAGTCACACCACCAACACATGAAAATTCTGTTTCCTGTTCAATTGTTGGCAATTTTAGCACTCCTAGTGGAAATACGGTTCTAACTTGTTTGAGTTTCATTGTCATTTTCCTTTATGACAGTCCTATGGAGGATATTTTCATGTTCTTACACATAAGTAACATGTTTTCTTTGCACAGTATCTGTTCAGATATTTCGTTCTTAATTATATTGTTCTTATTTAGGAGTTCTTTATATATTCTGGTATTCTGGGTAGAAATCATAATGGACATAGGTATATAACTCAAATATTTCCCCGTCATATCTTGTTTTCTCATGTCATTAATAGTAATTTTTAAAAAGCAGAAAGTTTTACATTTGGATGAAGTATGATTTTCAATGTTTTGTTATAGTTTGAGCTTTTTCTATTGCCTTTTAGAAAATATTTCCTAGCCTACATTTGTGAATATTTTTGCCTGTTTCCTCCAAGAAGCGTTAAAATATTAGCTTTTATCTGCAGGGCAATAATCAATAGTAAGTTGTTTTTTGTGTGTGGCATCAACAAACGGTTGACTTTTATTTTTCTGTGTGGTTCTCTAGGTATTCCAACATCAGTATTGAGAGTACTATAATTCTTCATTGAATTTATGGCAATTTTGTTCAGTTTAATTCACCATACAAATATGGTTCTATTTAGCCTATGCTATGCCATCTATCTATGTCTTTATCTTTTGTCAGTATCACACTATTTTAATTAGTTTAGCTTAGTACTGTGTCTGGAAATTAGACAGAGTTCTCTGGTGTTCTTTTTGAGTATTGTTCTTACTATTATAGCTTATTTGCATTTCTGAATACATTTTGAACTAACTATCTATGATAAGACTTTTATTGGGATTAAATATAGACAATATTAGAATGATTTACAAATAACGTTGTTATTTATATGATATGTTGTATAAAATATAACTTATGTAATACATTGATTTAAATAGATTAACTCTATAGGTATATTTGGGGAACTATATTTTATTAGTACATGTTTTTTTTAATTTTATTTAAGGAGAAAAAGAAAAAAAACAGACAAAGGGTACAAGTAATACAAAATTTAAAAAATAAACAGTAAGAAATCACTAGTTAATAGATTACATATTCTCATCTTAGAAATAGTTGTTCAAGTTACAAAATTAAAGCATATAAAGTGGACTTTCAAACAGTGAGACTGCAAACAGTTTTGTTCAGTGATCCAACAAAACTCAGTAATATGGTTATCTATCTTATACACTTAAACATATATGCAGTTATAACCTTTAGAGCACTTTCTTTTCTTTTCTTTTGTACAGTGACAATTACACATTTTGGGTGTTATTACTCCCATAGTTCTTATTACTTTTTTTTGAAGAGAGTAAATCCAAATGCGACATATCAGAACAGTCAGTCAAATCAAAAGGATGGACATAATAGATAATGTAAAAACAAAATACAAGGTGATCAACAATGGTTACCACACTGCCTCTTGCTATCTTAAGAATTGCATATATCATCAGTTATAATAAAATTGAACAAAACTGTAAAGAATGAAACCAAAACATTGGAGACATTACAGGACTTTAAAAGAAGATAATAGTCAACCAGAATGGGCATCATAATGAATCTTACTGTCTTCACAGTTGTTGCCTATACTTTCGATCTTGGTACTATCAAGCTAAGCAGAATAGAAGAAAATCAGTCAAAGCAAGATGGTGAGGGCTATCCAGGGTTTCAAGTCAAGTTAATAGGAAATCAAAGTAGGTTACTATAATGTATCCTGCTATTTTTTATTTATTTTTCCCTTAATTAAAAAGATAAAAATAAAAAAGTAAATAATTAGAAAAAGGAGATTGAGATAAAAGAGGGCATAACAACAAAATAGCGCAGGTCAAAACATAACCATTTAAGCAAAATAGTGTTTCACCACAAGATATCCTGACATAAAAGTAGTTACTATAGTGTCTCTTTCCTTGAAATCTTTGAGTATAACTTCGTATACTGTAGCACCAAACATATCCAGACAATGTAAAACCATTCAAGAGAATGACATTATTACAGGGTATTTAGAGCCAACTAACAGAAAATGAACAATGGTTTCTGTATAATCCCCTTGTCTATAAAAGTTTGTACTTATATTATCACATATTATAAAATCCAATAAGATATAAGCTGTTAAGACCGATGGAGACAGAAGAATAAAAGCTTGATGGGACTTCAAAACAAGATGATACTAAATCAGCACTAGCTATTATGATGTCTTGTTTTCTCCAAAATAGCTGTTCCTACCATCCAATATTCTCTGCCTCATTTCTGTTGAGCTCTTTTTCTGTCATTTGTTGTCAGTTTGTCTTCTTCATTTCTCTTTCTGCTCCATTCATTGTGGCCTCTCTGCCACTATTTATGGAATCTTGGTATTTTCCTTTTTTAGAATATCCTGCAGTATTCTCTGTAGAGTTGAATTGGTGGTTGCAAATTCCCCTAGTTCCTCTTTATCCTGGAAGCACCTTGTTTTTCCATCAATTTCCAGGGTTAGTTGTGCAGGACATATCAATCTTGGCTGGAGATTATTATCTTTCAAAGCTTGAATTATTTCCCCCCACACTCTTCGTGACTTGATGGTTTGTGCCGAAAAGTCTGCTGTAATTCTGATGGGTGTTCCCTTGTAAGTGATCTGTTTCTTGTCTCTGACGGCTTTTAATATTCTGTTCTTATATTGGATTTCTGGAATTTTGATTATTATATGCTTGGGTGTAGCTCTGTTTGGGTTGTAGGTGGCTGGGGTCCTGTATGCCTCATACATCTGAGTGAGTATCTTTACCTTTTGCTAAATTAGGGAAATTCTCTTGGATTATTTCTGTGAATAGCTTTTGTAGTCCATTTGTTTGTGTCCCTCCCTACTTCTTCTTTTATGTTCTTAATTCTTGTTATAGATCCTCTTATCATCTTGTAGCCTTTGTATTCTTGCTGTTTGTTTTCTTGTTATTTTTAAGAAGTTTTTCATTTCATGCTCCCACTTTACAAATCTGCCTTCCAGTTCAGATAATCTATCCTTAGTTTCTTTCAAGCTATTATACTAGCTTTTGATAGAGTTTTTAATTTCCTGGTAATCTCTTTGAACCTGCTTCATGTATTCTATGTTTTTTTCTATTTTCTCCATCAAACAATTCTTCCCTTTTTTTCTGTTCTTCCATTCTACCATCTGTTTTTTTTTGGGGGGGCAGTGCTTAGCATTTCTCTAACTATTCTACTTATATCTTGGTTTAGGTCGTTAATAACTTCATTTTTGAACTGGTCTATGAGGCTCTGAAGATAGCACTTTATGTCTATTGGTGCCGTGTCTGATACTGCATGTTTCTCAGGATTGGGGGCCGAGGACCCTTTCTTGTTGCTTCCTCTTCCCATATTTTTTGTTCCTTCCATACAAGTGTATATAGGAGGCCCAGTTTCTTTCTTTCTTGGTTACAGTTTGTTTGAATTGCTCCGGCTAGGTGTTCCCGCCCACTGCAGTGTACTAGGGAGACACAGACCTGGGCAGTCTATGCTTGGCCCACCCCTCCAGGTCAACCTACCGAAGGCTTCACTGCTAAGGTGCACCTCCAGGCGCTGGGACCTGGTTTGGGCTAGCCTACTGGGTCTTAAGTCAGCAGTGACACCCAGGCCAGGCACTCCCCACCAATCCTGCTTGAGAGGGGAATATGCAACTAATCACACTGCAGCGTCCTGTTCCAGCTAGTCTGCCTGGTCCCAGTATGTCCTTTGCTGAAGCCTCCTACTCTATGGAAGGGTCCCTGATCTGCTTACTCACCGCAGGTCAATGCAGGGCTCCCAGCCAGTCGCGCTCTCCACTTCTCACTCTCAGAGCTTTCACACCTCTCTCCTTGCATAGCCGATTGGAATGCAGCAGCGGCTGCAGGAAATTCAAATTGCAGCCTCCAGTGGCATGGGCTCCAGCTTCTGCTCTAAGACCCTATCTGTTCCTGTTATAGCACCAGGATTGTGTTTCCAGTTGGTTTCTCTTAGTTTAGTTTGTTCCTGGGTCGTCAGGGTACATCTCCCCCAGC